GGCGGGGCCAATCCAGGAGGGGCGTGGTCTATGCCCCTGGTAGGTGGAGCGAGAGCCGAATGTAGGCGGAGGAGGTGGGACCCGAACCCAGGAGGACAGGCAGAGGGGTCGAGCTGGGGAGGCACAAGTGGGATCAACTCAGCCCAGGAAGCCGATCTTTTATTTATTTATTTATTTATTTATTGTACTGGGGACTGAACCCCAGCCCTATTTTGTATTTTATTTAGAGACAGGGTCTCACAGAGTTGCTTAGCGCCTTGCTTTTGCTGTGACTGGCTTTGAACTCGCGATCCTCCCGTCTCAGCCTTCCTAGGCGCTGGGGTTGCAGGCGTGCACCACCGCGCCAGGCTAAGAAGCCCATCTTTGGCAAAGCCCCCGAAGTGAAGGCGATCTGAGACGCGGGAAGAGGCAAGCCCAGAAGGCGGGGTTCCAGCAAGGAAGCCACCGCCCAGGAGGCGACGTGGAGGCAGAACCCCATCCAGGAAGCAGGCCAGGGGCGGAGCGAGACGGGGAGGATCCTCACTGGAGAGGCGGTGTCTAGTCAGGGAGGGGCGGAACCTCGGCTTTTGGCGGCTGGGACCGGCCAGGGATGGGAGGAGTGTGGGGCTGAGCCGGGAAGTCCAACTCCAACCCTGACACTGGCAGAGGACACCAGGTCTGGGAGGGGGAAACCGAGCGGGTCAGGGGAATCGTGTGGGCTACAGAGAATCGAATGGGGCGGGGCCAGGCAACCGAGCTCGCCAAATATTGTATCTCAATTACTCAATGAGTTCATTGTGACTTATTTTGCTGTTGTCTCACTTGTGATCCTTAGGCGGATCTGTTCCCCCAGTTTCCCCATCCGAGTGGGGTAATCCCCAAGGTATAGCCAGATGCAAATGGCATTCTGGAAAAAAAAAAAATTGCTGACTTTAAAAGAGCCCATTAACGCAGGCTTGCCTTGAATGCAGGCCTGTCTTGATGAATAGATGAGAACGGCTGCAACTTTGTACAAAACTGGGCTGCCAATGTGCTTGGGAACAGTGGGTCCTTTCAACCCGCATCACAACTTCCCTTTCATTCACCCAGCAATTATTTATTGAACCCCTACTGTGTGCCAAGGTCAGGACGCCACCCAGAGGCCTGAGTCACTCCTCTTTTTACTTTCAGCCTCTGAAGAGTTCGCGATTCGCCTCACTGCAACAACAGTGAGTCACTGGCAAAGCACAGCAATAATAACAGACTGAAGTGCAGAGTGACTTGCCTAAGTCACACCACAGAGAATAAATAATGAGCAAGTTTCATTAGTGCAAATGAACTGAAATATGGACACAGAAAAACCTATTCTTCCTTTGGAGTGGGAGGAGAAGAGTATAACAGTAGCTGGTGTCATAAAGTAACCATGCAGAGGTTTTTTTACTGGAAGAAGGACCTCCCAAGAACCTGTGGATAGAATCACACCTCCATATAATTTGTTTCCTTTGAATCTTATGTGCTTTATTTTATGTACTTAAAAACATGATCCTGAGAGGGTGTACTGGTTTTACTTGACTGCTAAAATGGCCTATGGCACCAAAAGGTTAAGAGCAGTGTAAGTAACTGGGTGTCTGTAATGTGAGTATGGAACCCCAGGGATAGACAGCTTTGAAACATAACTGAGGAGTAGCTAAGGTGAGCTGGTCACCCCAACTTGCTCTGGGGTACCAAGAGGTTGCTTTTTAGGCAACCTAGAACTCCCGATGCATGATTTTATTCTTATAACATCCCTTGTGAAATATGCATTGTTATCCATCCCATGGATGAGAAAATGAGCCCAGAGAGGCAAAGGGTCATATTGCAAATAGAAGCAAAGCTAGAATTTGAGCTCAGATCTCCTGGGACCAAGATGAAGCCCCTCTACCTTCCACTTTTACCAATGCCTGTCCTTGCAGTGAGACAGGAGGGCTCAGGTATAGGAAAAGTTAGTGGAGGTGAATATGTTCAGTAAAGGGGGACCTCAGGGGTCATGCCCTTTCAGTACATCTGGGAACATGCTGGAGAAGGTCTAGCCAAAATAAAGACAGCAGAGAAATCAGGGTGGGTAGAAGGGGATGGGAACTGTAATATCAGTTGGAGGGCTTCTGAGGCAGCAGAAAGAGCTTGCATCAGTTCTGGACATACTTTCCTTAGTTAGGGATGACCTTATGGTGCCTCATCATCTCCCAAAGAAGTGTAGACAACAACTGACTGGACATGGCAATTTGGAGGTACAACTCACGGGACCTGGCAACTTGGGAAAGGTCATCCTGCAGAAACACACCACAGCACTGAGTACCAGGTGCTGTTCTAACTGCCTTATAGATAATGCCTCATCTTTACAACAACCCTATGAGGAAGGTAGTATATTATCCCCCACTTTACAGATGGGATAATTAAAGGATTTTCTGACATGAAGAAGCCAAGCCAAACTCAGGTATTTTCCTTCCAGAATTTATGCCTTTGGGTAAACTGCTCCTGGGAAAAAAGGGACATTTCATATCTAGGTGAGCCTATAGACCCCAAGCAAATGGGGGGAACTCAGAGGGCATTCCTGCTGCAGACCCCTAACTTTCCACACTAGAAATTTGGTCCAGCAGCACATCTAATGCTGTGATACACACTGTGAAGGGGATGCAAACTCTCCAATCAAAGTGTCAACAACCTGGAACAGCATGGGGTACAGTGACCACCCTTCTCACCATCAATTCTCCTTAACAGGTCTTGCTTCCCCATCTTGTTTGCAATGTGGACAGAAGGCAGTTAATGGAGGTTACTTGGGATGCTGAACTAGAAGTGGTGGGGCCTTAAGGGAAGACAGTTTGGAGTCACGGTGTTATGCCATCCCTGGAAGAAGGGCTGGACTGAGTCATGCATTCAGAAGACTGGTCCCAAACAGGATGATCCAGGGTGGCCAAACCCATGCCACCAGTCTGGGAGCCTCTGACTGACCCTCCATGTGTCTTTGTTGCTGGAAAAGATACCAGGACTGCCCCCCAGGAGAAATGCTGGGCAAAGACACAAGATATCAGGGATGGAGGCCATTCCAACAGGAGCCAGGCTGCTGCTGTGTCAGAGACAACCAGAGGTCTTTAAGAAGGTCTTAGTGTGAGGTGGGTAGAGAATGGGTGGCAGTCCACAGGGTATACAGCACTAGCTAATGGGTGGTAAGAGAGAACACAGAACTGTCCAGCGCAGGTGGCCCTGGGTCCCTTCCCACCAGTCTGCCAGGAGCACTCAGGACACCTCTGACCTGGGGGAGGAGAGAGGGAACAGAAGAAGGGGCAGGGATTCCATGACCCAGCTAGACAAGATGGCTTTGAGAAACTCTGGCTATTGGTCTCTATGGACTCTGGGGACCAGGTCTGGGCCAACAGAGAAACGTAAAACAGATTGGGGGCTGACTGCTGGCTGCAACTCTCAGGGGACTGGAGTGGAGGGACGGAAGACTGTTTACCATCTTTGAATGGTTTAGATGGATGGGTTGTGGAACCTAAAGACTCCAACTCCAAGGGCACTGAAAAAGAGAGGAATATATAATTGAGCAGTGATTGGTGTGAGAGGAGCAGGGTTTGCTGAGCTGGTATATGCTCTGGGAGAACAGGAGTACAAAGGCCCCCCCAAATGTGGGTTAGTTCCCCACCTGAAGCAAAAAGAAGCTAAGTTGCTCCCCTCCCCTCCTCTCCCAGAGGCCTCCAGAACTTGCAATCAGGAGTCCAGACTCCCCTCTTTGCAGGAAGGACAGTGATAGGGTGAGTAGTTGGCCCAGATGACAGAAAACAAAGCTCTCTGGACAAAGGATGGAGCGGCCGGCGGCTGGAGCTGAGACCTGGCTCTCCCTCACCGGGAGGGTGCGCCGATGCGGAGATCAGACTGCTCCTCCAAGCCCGAGGATCGCTGACTACGATTTCTGCGCTGGGCAGTTAAGGCTGCAGGGCCCGACCTCAGCCAAACTTGGCACCTCCTCGCCCCACCCCCTTACACCCTCACCGTGCCACACCCGCGCGGCCTGACGCGGTCCAGGCACGCCTGGACTTTAAGGAACCTCTAAGGATGGGTTGCACCGGGCGGAGAAGAGTCAGTTGGTTCGTGGATGCTGCTTCCTTTCCCCCTCGGTTCCTTCAAGCGATCTGAACCGTGGAATACAGACCGGGACAAGGGGGAGTCCCCGAGGGAGAAGAAGTCTTCTGACCTGTACCGTTCCCGACCTCCCGGGCCAGGTCTAGGGACAAGCCTGGAACACCCAGGATTCCTATTTGGGAACCGCGGGCTGAGATTTCCTCCAGCCCAGCGAAGCGAGCAAGGAGCCGTCCGGGGGCCTTGCAGAGGCGGCTGAAGGAGCTGGGATCCCCTACCCAGTGCGGGGAACGGCTTTCCCCGCGTGGGCCCCTGCAGGATCTCCCCGCTCGCGCGGGCCCGACACTCACCATGCAGGGTCAGGAAGTCCCGGCCCGAGTCCATGCCCCTCCGGCTGCGCGGCGGGAGGGGGCACCGCGGGACTCACGTGAGCAGCGACAGCGCAGGCGGCCCCGGGTCCGAGCGCAGTGCGGTGTAGGGACCAGAATGGACTGAGGTGGGTGGAGGACGGGGGTGGGCCCGGGACACCGCCCCGCCCCCTAGGCCAGCGCCCCCGCCCTCCGGATCCGCCAACCCGCGTCCCTCCCCGCCCCCTCCTGGGGATCGGGAAGGAGGCAGAGCCAGGGGCCGGGAAGACGGGCCAACCCCGGCCCCGGCCAGTGGGTGTGCCTCGTCCCGAAATAGTCAGATCCCTCCCGCTTCCTCCGCTGCTGCCACCCACAGGCCGCGGGCCCTGTCATTAGCGCGGACAGCCAGCCCCACGCCCTGCCAGTGGGAGCCTCGCCCGGATCTAGATGAGGCTGGAAAGAATCCGGCCTCATCCCGGGGAAGGGATCACTTAAAAGTCAGACACCCAGCCGGGTTGCTGCGAAAGAGAGCGTCTAGGCTTGAGCGACAGCTCCCCCAGTATCTGCTTTCCCTTTTGCGATATGAATGCACGGGCCACGGACTTGGAGGTCTTTGGGGAGCAGTACCTAGACCCTGTCCACGGGAAGGCCCTTCCCACTTGCTCGGAGGTTTCTGACCTCAGGACTGTGCTTCATAAGGGGTGGGAGAAAGTGGCCAACAGGTGCAGGGAGTGTAGCATTGGGTCCTCATCCCAAAAGTCCACATCCCAAAAGTCCCAGCGATCTGTGCAGCGGAGTGGGGAAGACCTCTAAGGTCCCTTCTTCCGACGGCCTCCTCAGGGGCTTATCTGACAAGAGACCCCCTACATAAACATCAGCCCTTCAATGCCCAGGACCCAGAAACTCCTTACAGGGTGCTCAGAGATTCCTGGGGAAGGTCCAGGGATCCTGCTGCCCACCTTTGCCCACTTGGAAGTCCCTGGGGGAGAGCTGGGCTCAGGTTGGGAAGAAACTGGAGACAGCTTTCTCAAATGAGGAGGAGGTGTGCTAGGTCCCCCAGTGAAGCTATCTGGGCTGATAAAGTCAATGTGAGAGTCTGGCAGAAGCTAGTGATCTCTCCCAGAGGAGACCTGGCTCACCTCAACCCCATTTCTTCTGGGCACAATCAGGCCTAAGTAAGGGGTGTGAAAGAACTGAGAGACAGCCTTCAGGTTCTGAGAACTGAGAGAGTCAGGACTTTAGAGAGCCCCTGAGCTGGGCATGCCCCCTCTCCCCACCACACAAACACAGAGTGGGGCTAGCTCCTGATCTGACATTCAACTCCAGTCCTGCTGCCCTGGGCAGGTTTTCAGAACCCTCCTTAATTTCCCTTCAACAAACTCAGGGATATAGTCGATGTTTTTTGAGGGATGAGCAAGTTTCACACTGGCAGGCCTCACTTTGGACCTCTAGCCTGGGGGCAGAGAGGATGGGGGGGGGGGTCCCTTCTCTGCCCTTGCCTCCCCTCTCCAAGGCCCTGCTCTCTTCCCAGAAACTTTTCGAGCCTTGGAGCCTCCCACCTGGATCTCTGACACCCCTGGGGCCTGCTAGCCCCTCTCCTCAGCAAGCCAGATCTCCCAAACCCTCTTCCCAGGCAGACACAGTGAAATTCTGACACCAGTAGTTGGCATGGCTTTATCTCAATCATCATTCCTATTTTTTGTCTCTGAGAACATTATCTGTGACCTTGGACTTTCCCTCTGCCAGAGATGCCTGTGGTGGCACTACCTCTGCCCTTGCTTACCCTAAACGCACCTCAAACTCCTTTAGAAGCCTCCTCCACTGGCCTGGGGTTGTTGAGCAGGATGGGCAGGGCTGACTCAGAGCTGGCCCATGCAATCAAGTTTTGCCAGAAAAAAGAGCTAGGCCACACCTTGCTCAGAGCAAGTAGGCCGCTGCTCTGTGCTGACCTGCAGATCAGCCCTGAAGTCACTCCAGCCCTCTCCCCCTCCCTTCTCTCTGCACCTCTTCTTTCTCACAGGCTAGGAGACACTGCTTCCTTCTGCTGGATGTAAGTCTGAGTGCTATGACTGTACATCTGTGTGTGGAAGGGCTGGGGGTGGGAAAAACACAGCAAGAGGCTTTGTACTGAACCACAAAGTTGCTGGATTTGGCTCCCTCTGCCCTCAACTCCCCTGTGTGGGCTTAGCCCTGGCCAGGTGCCTAAATGACTCTCCTTAAAACCCAGTTCTCAGTTACCTCTGTAAGATGCCCTGAGATCCTGGTGACTCATCCGCTCTGTGGCAGGCTTAGTTTGGGTGACGGAGGGCCCACACTTGCCCAATGACAAGAGTTCCAGGCATCTCACCACCCCCAACTGTCTCTGGAAGCCCTGGTGGGGGGGAGGGGATTATCAACCCAAGAATGCCATCTTTCAGGATGGTCAGGCTCTAAGTGGCTTCAGGGCTGGTCCTGCCTTAACCTTTCCCCATGAAACAGCAAGCCTGAGTAGGTGAAATAGAGGTTTACTCTGCCCCTCTGTGTCTTTAGTGCCTCCATCCCAGGCACAGGGGGTTGTGAGTGCTGTTTAAATCTGGGCCCTGCAGTGTCCTGCAGTGAGAATTTGAACAAGTCACTTCATCTGTGACTTAATCAGGAGCTACCATCATCTCTGGAATAGGCTGAAATAACAGATGTCAACTACCAGAAACAAATAAACACTGCATGAGGGGCCTGAGCTAGAGTCCTCTCTCCCCAAAACTGTCCCCAACCTGGCTTCTATAGATCCTGGTGGCCACAGAGGCTCTTTGTCTAAGGGCATGCCCCTGGTGCTTTCAAGGTATGTGGAACCCCAGCTGAGCTCACTCCAGAGGGTCCTGGACCCAAGTCCAGACACATCCGGAGGAAAAGTGAAGGCTGCCTCTCCCAAGAGAGCAGCTTTGGCAAAGCAAAGGCCCTGGGACCACGTGGGAAAGATGTCTAGACCACACAGACTACACCATAGACTACAAGGTTGCTGGGCCTCTTTGTAACCCTGGGATAGTATGGCATTATTTGGAGTTATTTTTCCACAACTGTATTTATGGGATTTTACCGTGTATTCATTTCACTGTGGACTAAGTCCCAAGGGTCATCTTATCCCATGGCACCCCACAGGCAAGTGCAGTGCTTGGTGAGGACAGCCATCAGGAGACTTGCCCTCTGACCCTTATCTGAGGGAGGAGGCACATTTAGGCCTGTGTGAACTGAAGACACCAAAACCTTTATTCTGCTATTTTGCTTATTCAATAAATATTTATTGAGCACATACTGTACACAAGGCACTGTTCAAGAGTCCAGAGAATCACCCATATACAAAACTCACCAAAATCCCCTGTGATCATGGAGCTTAAATTCTAATGGAAAGAGAAGAGATGCTGCAATAATCATAAACATACGAGGAGAATTGTGTATTGTATTAGAAGATGAAAGGAAATGAAAATAAGTAAACAAGTAGGGTAGGGGATGAGGATGTAGTTCTGTGGTACAGTGTTTGCCTAACAAGCATGAGGTTTTGGGTTTAATCTCTAGTAATGAAAAAAAAAAAAAAAAAGTAGGGTAAAGGAGTTCCTGGGCGGGGTTAGGTTTTAAATCAGTTGGCTGCTGAAGGTGACATTTGAACAGACTCAAAGGAAGTGAGAGACTAAGTTGTTCAGGGTTATCTGGGGGAGAGGATTCTAGGCACTGGGAATGGGCAGTACCAAGGCCCTGAGGCAGGAGCAGTTCTGATAAATTGGAGGATTTCAAGGGGGCTGTGTGCTAGGAGCTAAGAGACTGAGGGGGTGCCACACTTGGAGTCAGGTTAACAGTGACCTGGTCTTGTAGGGGCTTTTATTCTGGGAGAAATGGAGGACACTTGGAAGGTTTCAAGCGGAGGAGGGACATGATCTGATTCATGTTTCTGGCTGCTGGAAGAAGTCACAGAGGAGGGTCAGAGGCTGAAGTGGGGCCCAGGGCAGGGACTCTGGCTGTAATGCAGGTGGGAGGATATGGTGGCTCAGGCCTGGCAGTAGGACTAGAGGTTGTATAAAATGGTAGGATTCTGGAAACGTTTTTGAAGGTAGAGCCAACAGGATTTATTGGTGGGGCTGTGAGGGAAAGAGGGGAATCAAGGATGGCTCCAAGGTTTTGACCAGGGCAATTAGAAGGACAGAGCTGCCATAACGGGAAATGGGGAAAGTTGAAGAGGAATAGGCACTTTATTTTGATGTCTTCAGACAACCAAGGGGAGATGTCAGGTATAAGATGGATGTACAAATTTAGAAGGGAAATGTGGGCTAGGGATAAAATTTAGGATATGAGTCAAAACATGTTTAAAAGGCTTAGAAACTATCACATAGTGCTGGTGGAGTCTACTTTGGTATAATCTTTCTGGAGGGCAATATAGCAATATCCCAAATACTAAAATGTGCATACCCTTTGACCAAGAAATTTTATGATATTGTCCCACAGAAACACTATAAAGCCATGCAAAGTATGCACACATATGAAAAGGTGGCTCATTACAGCATTATTTATAGTAGTAAAAAAAAGATGTCCTTTGTGAGTTGTTACAGAAGTGAAAAAGCAAACGGCAGAAGAATATATATGACAGTATCATTTGTTTTTTAAATATTAAAAATGACCATATAGAAATCAATGTTTGTACCGAAAAAAAAAATAGCTGAAAAGATATGGAAATAATCTGATAAACTGGAGGAAAGGACTGAGGACACTTATTTTTTTTTATTTTTTGTGTACTGTTGGAGGTTTTCTTTACTTTTGTTTTTACCAGGATAATGTAGACCTTTTGAAATTTAAAAGTGAAAAAAAACAATTGAAAGATCAAAAGTGTGTGTGAAACCCAGAGATAAACACACAGAAGCTGCAGTCCGCAGAGCAGCTTATAAAATGATAAAATGAAAAGGGCCGCTCACAAGGAATTTCCTTTGCACTGAGGAAGTCCCCATCAGATGGGAGCTAGTGAGTGGTCCCAAAGGTGACCTGAGCCCTTTGATACTGGTGCAGGTAAGAGCCACTCATTAATTCAGTTAGCTGAATACTGGGAGCAGCAGAATCAGGGATGCACTGAACTTATCAAGCAGAGAGATACTCCCAGAAGACGGACAGGAGGATGGAGACAGGGATGCACAGACAGGGGAAAGCAAAAGAGTTAGTGTGTCAGTCAGAAGGAATGGTAGTGGCATCAGGTGAGGACTGATGGAGTGGCTGTACCGAGGGTAACCTGGTTAGACAGTGTCAGCTGATCAGAGGAGCTGAGGCCAGAGGGTGTGCCTGTGCTGGGGTCATGCAGAAGCGAGAGTTGCTGGGAGGCACCTCTTCGGGGCTGGGCCAGACTCCCTGGGACTTTCCCAGAGGCCATCTGGAGGCACCATGGAGAAGTCAAAAGTAATGGTAAGAATCCATGGAACTGTTCTGGACAGAGAAGGGGGCCAGGGAGCCTCCACATGTGGAACTATTCCTAATGGATAGGACCATTTATTTATGGGAGGCAAATTAGAGGCAAGGCAGGCTCCCCAGACTCTCCCACTTTTCTTCCCACACATAGCTCCTTCCTGCACCATCCAGGACCTCACATGCATGTGGAAAGCTGGACCAATGGCATGTTGCCCTAGTTCTGTCCCCCATTAAGCTATCCCTTATTGCACATCCCAGTCAGTCCCTGCAGGAGGGAGTTAAAGAAGAAGCCTGCTCTGGCTCTGGAAATGGACTCAGGATAATTTTGGGCTCCTAGGCACCTGGAGGACAGGCACAGGGCAGGCACATTCTTACTTTGTGGGGAAGGGTACAGTTGGAGGAGATCCAGAGCAGGGGTCCTGGCTTCCCAGCTCTCGGGACAGAAAAGTACAGATGAGGTAGCCAGCCTCAACCAAGAGAGGCAGAAGTGGCCCAGGTCTGATGGCAACATCTTGGGACTCATCTCAGGAAGTGGGTTTTTGGGCTGTAAGGCAAGCACTCTCACTGGAGTAAAAAGTGCTTATTATACCACTGTGAGCAGAGTCAAGTTGTGCCAATGACAGTGGACAATGTGGTCTCAAGCTGTCACCCTGAACAAGGACAGTCCTCTTCCCCATGTCAGTGGATGACAGAATCACCCACCTAACTACACACAGAGGACACTTGGGAGTGATTCTTTGTTCCTTTTTCTCACATCCCATCATCCACCTGCAAGTCCTGTCAATTCTACCGTTTAGATCTATCTCCAATCCCTTCCCCTCACCCTCATCTAAGCTCCTTTATCTCTTTTCTAACTTCTGCAATAGTTTCCTAATTGATTTCCCAGGTGCCTGTTGCCTCCTGCTATCTATTCTCACAGCAATCAGAGTGACCTTCATAAAACAAAGAGCTGACTATGACATGCTCCGGCTTAAAACCCTTGATGGCTTTCTCACTGTCCTCAGTATAAAGTTCCAATTTCCTATTGTGGTGTTCAAACCCATTTATGACCTGGCCCTTTCCTATCAGTCTCATCCTTCACTCTCAAACTCTTGATTCCACATCTACATTTCTTGCATTTCCTCCCACTTGTAGTAGCTTTCTCTTCCAGCCTGTGCTCTCTTGTAGCTTTTGCACACCTAGACCACTGGAGATGGCATACCCACCCTTTTTTCCCTTCTCCATTGGCTTTTCCTACGCATTCTTTTTTTAATTAAAGAACTGAGGTATAAGTTACATACAGTAAAATCCAACCTTTACAGTGTACAATCCTGTGAGGTTTGATAATCCATATAGTTGCATAACCACAATCAAGTTACAGGACAATTCCACCACTCCAAGAAATTCCCTCTGAAGTCACACCTAGTCCCCATTCTGCAGCTCCTGAAAACCAATGGTCTATTTTTTGGTATGTATTTTCTGGAATGTTCTATAAATGGAACCATTCCATAGGTAGCATAGATATACCCAACATAGATTCATCTATGCTGTTGGGTATATTAATAGTCTGCTTCTTTTCTATTGTTGAGCACTATTCCTTGGTATAAACATACTACAGTTTATCCATTCATCAGTCTACGGAGCATTGGAGGATTTTTTTTCTAGTTTGAGTGGTGATGAATAAAAGTGCCATAAACGTTTATGTTCAAGCTTTTGCGTGCACATAGTTTTCATTTCACTTGGAGAAAATACCTCCAGTGTGACTGCTGTATGTGTAACTGTGTAGGAAACTACCAAACTGTTCTCCAGAGTTGCTGAACCAGTTTGTATCCTCATTCACAGTATATGAGAATTCTGGTTGCTCCCCATATTCACTAGCACTTGTTTGGTCTCTTTATTCAAGAATGTCTTTCTTTCTTTTTGCCATTCTACTAAGTTCGCAGTGATAACACATTGTGGTTTTAATCTCCACTCCCCTGTTGACTAATGATGATGAGTCTACTCTTCCTTTTAAATCTCTGCCTGGTCTTCACTTCTTCCAAGAAGCCACGGCTCACCCTACAGACTATGGTTCTAGACAAACATCACATGCCTCCAAGGTGGCCTGAAGTCACTAACCTGCAGTTGTTATACTGTTCCCTCTCCACTCACCACCTTCATATATATCTCACACACACACACACACACACACACACACACACACACACACGACGGTGCGATCCCCAGGGGCAGATGCAACTTCCTTTGGTATGTTCCTTTGGTATGTTCTAACTTCCTTTGGTATGTTCCTTTGGTATGTTCTAACTTCCTTTGGTATGTTCAGTTCCCAGCCTGGACCTGAAACAGAAGTTTTACACAATCAACCATAAGTAGATTGTGAACAATTGCTGAGCAAATTAAAGAATGAATGGATGAAAGCACGTAGTCAGGAGTAAGATTTTGCAACCAGATTAGGCTGGTTCTGTCAATTAACCCTTTCCTCACAGGAAATTCAGCGTCAGGAGGGACGGTGCTGAAGATGCAAGGATTTGCAAGGACGAAGCCGAAGACGCTCGCCAGGGCGGAAGCAAGGCGGAAGAGGCGGGCCCGGAAGTAGAAGTGGGGCAAGGAGTTAGCGTCTCAGTTGCCATGGAGACCAAGGGGCCGACGGCGGAGCGGAGCTCCTTAGAGTCTGGGACCTACGAGTACGAGAGGCAAACATGGGCGCCAGACTCACGACTGGCCATGTCCAGAAGCCCCCCAAAGTCCCCCTTGCCGTCCTCCCGTGCCTACGTGGAGAGCTTCCAGTTCGGCTTCGCGACCCGGCCCAGTCGCGGGTGGTCGCGGGCGCTCCCGCCGCCACCCGAGCCGCAGCTGCTGCGTCTGCGCCCCTCCTCGCTGCGCACCCAGGACATCTCGCACTTGCTCACCAGCGTCTTCCGCAACTTGTACTCCGCCGAGGTGATCGGCGAGGAAACGAGCGCCAGCTTGATCAAGGCCCGCGGCAGCGATAATGCGCGCCACGAGCAGTTCGTGGACCAGTTGCAGCAGGTAACGTGGCCCTGGCGCCCCACGCGGTGGCATCGCATCTGCGGACCGTGCCGGGGATCCGGGACGGGACCGCAGGACTCAGCGCTGGACCTGTGCCAGCACCTGGCCACGTGCCAGGCGCTGTGCCAGGCGCTGTGCCAGGCCCTGGAGATGCAGCTGGGGAAAAGCAGACCAAGTTCATGCTGCAGAGGACATTCTAGAAGAAGGACGCTGCATAAACGCACACATATACAAATGCACACACACTACACATAAATGGCACAGATCTGTAGCGCCTGTTTATATTTCTCTGCACACATCCGCACATTATATATTGCATATATAAATTAAATGACTCTGGCAGTCAGCCAGTTGTTCCCTAGAGGTGATTAAGTCAAGTCACTATCCTTTGGGGTGCCTTTATATCACCAACCACTATCTTGACTGAGACATTCATGCCCACACTTTCAGAAGCATACTCAGTCTCTGGAACAGCAACTCTTATTTGTTCATCTGTACAAGAGGGGAAACCAGCCAAGTTGTGTCCTTCGTGCTTACATGTCCTCTAAGGACAACTCCCTTCAACTTGAGGGCAAACTGCCCCCACCCAAGCCTACCCCCTTACCAGGTGTACCTCCTGCTTCTCAGATTTTCCTCTTCTCCACTCCATTCTGTCCTTTACCCCCTTTAAGTGATATGTACCCCTGATCCTGGCTTTATTCATTCATTTAACACATTTATTGAGTGTCTACTATGTACCATGCTCTGTTCTAGGCAGTGAGGATTCAGCAATAAGGAAAACATGGGTGCATGGACACCTACACACACACACACCCTGACCTCTATAGCCTACCATCTAACTGGGGCAGATAGACATTAACAACACGAGTATCTGTATAGTATGTGAGATATTAGCCTCAACCCTCCATGAGTTACACAGGCTTCCTGAAATCCAGGTAGGACCTCCTGGATGGGAACCCACTGCCCTGTTCTTCCTGGATCATCACACTCACTTTCCTGACTTTAGCCATCCTAGGCCAAACCTTGATCTTGAACATCTAACTCACATCCCTGTCATTCACATGAGCCAGAAGATGTGAAGCATTGTTAACCCATAAACCCCTCAACCAGTCACCCAGTTCATTAGACTATACATTTTAACATCTCTTCTATGATTAGCCAGCATCTGAACTGGCAGAGCAATCCCAATTTAAAGAAAAAAAGGCTTCACATTTTTTTAATACAAAAGTGATACATGTTTCAAACATTGCTGAATGCAGAAAAGTTTAAAGAGTGGTCCTATAGAAATCAACTCATGAAAAGGTAGTTTGACTTTATAAGTTATGGTATACTTACTGCACTATGCAATATTATGAAGTTGTTAAAAACCATGAGTTACACCTATATTATATTCATAGACAGCTACCTGCCATTTATTAAGTTAGCACAAAAGTCATTGGAAAAGGTTAGGACCTTTTAGAACTCTACACATTTGCATGGAAAAGAAGATGAAAAGTTTTATATAAAAAATGTAAACAGCACTCCTGGGAGAGCGTTTAGATTTTTCTTTCCAGACATCTACATTTTCAGAACTTTTGCAATGCACAAGAATTCATTTTGTAGGTACAAAAGAAACTTTGTAATTAGTATCTGTAATTAGCACGTGCTAGGCTAGCGCTGTACTGCTGAGCCACAACCCCAGCCCCCACCTGATCTCAATAACATTTAGTTACCCCCTCCTAGCTTTATTTTATCCTCATGTCTATGCTATTTTTACACTTTTAAGAGTCTGTTCCACTCATTTATATCTTTCCCTGTCCCCTCCTGTTAAATCTTAAACTCCTTAAGAGCAGAAACCATATCTGATGTATTTCTCTCCTCAAGTGTACATTGTAAATTCACAATAAATCTTCACTAAAAATAACAGTAAACATGCTGGCTGTGCAGCACTTGAATTCATTCTCTCTGAAGGAAGCAATAGTCACCATCTAATATGGAGTATCTCTCTTGAACTGAGGTCTCCCCAGACAGTCTCACCTGCTTCTGGTCTTTTCCAAGTCTGCCTACAAGAAGATTGGTGAGGTCTAATGATTGAGAGCAAATGCCCTGGAACTTTGCACCCTGGGTTCAAATCCTTGTTCCACCACATACCACCTGTATTACCTTGGGCAATCCTTCTATAAGTTTTTTTCCTTATCTATCAAATGGGGGTAATAATACCTCAATAGGATTGAATCAATTTAGTAAAGGCTTTATAATATTGTTTACAACATGGTGGATGCTCAATAAGTGATAGTTGTTATTATTTGGGTATTCCTACATATAAGAATTAGGGTTAGTTGTTATCAGCAGAGCAAAATAATAAAACACATGACATAATAATAAAACATAATGCATGTGTATGGAACTGCCCTGGCCACCGTCTCCTTCAAGGGGTCACCTGATCTCTCTCTCTTTTTTAATATATATATATTTTTAGTTGGACACAATATCTTTATGTTATTTATTTATTTTTATGTGGTGCTGAGGATGGAGCCCAGGGCCTCGCGCACGTGCTAGGCGAGCGCTCTACCGCTGAGCCACAACCCCAGCCCCCACCTGATCTTAATAACATTTAGCTACCCCCTCCTAGCTTTATTTTATCCTCACATCTATGCTATTTTTACACTTTTAAGAGTCTGTTCCACTCACTTATATCTTTCCCTGGCTCCTCTGCTAAATCTTAAACTCCTTAAGCGCAGAAACCATATCTGATGTATTTCTCTCCTCAAGTGTACATTGTAAATTCACAATAAATCTTCACTAAAAATAACTAAGTAAACATGTTTGAGGCCCTGTCAGTTCTAGGAATATAATAAGGATCAGCGTCACCTGGCATAAACTGTCTTTAACATTGCATGCACCAGTGAGCTCTTTGCTTCTTGCTTTGATCCTGAACTTGAAAATATAGATCAGAAGCTTGGTTGGCTGACCAGTCAATCTGAAGTCTTAGGATGTGTGCTGGGTATCCAGGTTGGATTTCTGGGTACAGATACTGTGACAACGTTTGGGTACAAGGTGTTTACTAGCAATCAACACCTACAAAGGGAAGAGAGAGAAAGCAGCACTGAGCCAGGGAAGCAGCTGAATTTTGATGGGGGCCCAGTAAGCCATGGCAAATGGAGAAGATTGCATTGAAGAGAATATAGCCTGTCTCAGTTTTTCATTTTGGGTCAAAATGACCAAGCCTGTAACTACACTCCTGCATCTCAGTCACTGGATGTGAATTCCACAAAAAGGACACACTCTCAGGCCAGCCCCTTCCAGCAGTTTAGGTAAGCTCTGACAGGGTTGACAGCTGGAGACTGTTCCTTAGAGGTAGGGAGCAAGACCTTCCCTGAACAGAGCTCTGGGTGGCCCAACGGGGAGTGTGCTAACTTCTTGTTATGGTTTGAGTCAGTTGTCCCCCAAAAGTTCATATGTGAGACAATGTAAGAAAATTTGGAAGATAAATGGTTGGGGGTGGGTATAGCCTTAACCTATTCAGTGAATTAATACCTCATAGGATTCACTGAGTGGTAACTGGAGGCAGGTGGAGTGTGGCTGGAGGAAGCGGCCCAATTGGGGGCGTGGCTATGGGGTATATATTTTGTACCTGGAGAGTGGAGACTCTCTCTCTCTGCTTCCTGATCATCAAGTGAGCTGCTTCCCTCTGCCACACTCTTCCACTGTAAGGTTCTGCCTCACCCTGAGTCCTGAGGAATGGAGTCTGCTGTGCATGGATTGAGACCTCTGAAACCGTGAGCCCCCAAACTTTTCCTCCTCTACAATTGTGCTGGTCAGGTCTTTTAGTCACAGCAGTGAAAAAACTGACTAAAACACTTGTGTTTGGATTTCACAGTACGAGAGGCAGCTCTCTTTACCATGAAGCCAGGAGACAAGGGCTTCCAAGGTTGACTCTACTGACTTACTATGAAAACTTTCAGTTATTTCCTCTGTGGGTCTCTTACAGCTGGTCAGTCGGACCAGATGATTGCAATAGCTCTCTGGCTTTTTTGTGCTTCAATGGAAACCCTGCTGTGGGGGTGGGGCAGAGTAAAGCTGTGACCTCACCGTATTTCTGTGCATTTAATCATTCCCTTGGCAGATTCGGGAGCTCTATAAGCAGCGACTGGATGAGGTCAAAATGTTGGAGAGACATCTCATTCAGGCCCAAGCACGGGCCCTGGCTGAAACAGAGAGGGCCACGAACCAGGCCAAAGTGCATGTCCTCGAGGCCCTCCAGTTGCCCCCAGGTGTGTATTGAGTTCTCTTATGCCTGCCCTTGTTTCCCCAGATCAGACGTGTGACTGTATTTGCGCCATTGCCCACGCTCCTTTTCTGAACGTTTGGAGAGCCAGCTGCAGTTTTTGTGTTTCATTACCTCAAAACACTCCAGCATTCACAGCATCACCAGAACTGGGACACTGTCCTTTATAAACAGGGCACACCCTCCAAATGCTGGCCTAGGTTATCCACTGAATCCTTCCAACAAGCTGTGGGGTAGGTTTTCTCTCCATTTTTCAGGTGCAGGAACTAAACTTGGAAGATCAAATAACTCCAATAGAGTCCCGTAGCGCAGAAAAGGGGAAACCCCGGATTTGAACTTGAATGTGTCTTCTGTGTCAGTCCATCTCCTCTTTCTATCAGGAGGAGGGGAGATTGTTGACCTGGCATAGTATCCCAGAGGCTTTTATGACTTCCCTTAGGATGTGAGCTTGGAGCTGGATCCTTGGTCAGGGTTGCCGCCTCTGAGGTTCAGGTCCAATTGGACTGTGAACTCTCAGGCTCATATTCCATCTCTCTCCCTGTTTCTCACTCCACCAAGACAGAGGGTAGCTCCCAGGACCCCACCCTCAATGGTGGCCCTTACAGCATCAAATAATGTGGATTTCAGCAGAGATTATTGGTAGCAGATTCCTAGGAGGCTTAATTGGTTGCTCCATGTCCCCTAATCCCTGGGAGTCAGATATTGTCCTGTTTGGAGTAGGATTTTTCTTTTTTTTTTTTTTTTTGCTAAAGGTCAGGGGAGATCAAATAGTTAGCTATTTGTGTTTTGTTGTTGTTTTAAATTAAAGTGAAACAAAACAGAGCAGAAGACAAATTTCAGGAGAATTTCATTCATTTTATTTTTTAATTATTATTTTAGTTTGGTACCGGGGTATTGAACATGTGGAGGTGCTTAATCACTGAGCTACATCCCCAGCCCCTTTTATTGTTTATTTTGAGACAGGGTCTCACTAAGGTGCTTAGGGCCTCACTAAATTGCTGAGGCTGGCTTTGAACTTGGGATCCTCCTGCCTCAGCCTCCTGAATTGCTAGCATTACAGGCCTGCACTACCGTGCCCAGCTCATTCATTTTATTTTTCACCCAAGATAATAAGTTATAATCAGAGATGATCTGTCCTGGTTTCTCAGCCTCCTTCTGTCTTTTATAAAAGTGGTAGGAAAAAGAGACCTTATAATTCAGCTTCATGAATGTCATCAGGTCCCTCCCTGCTTCTCAGGGTGGGGCAAGGTGACCCAAAAACTTCTAACTTGAGGACATCCCCCACCTCCAAACTTTTCTTATCTGAAGAACAAGGCAGCTTTTCTCTGTCCACTAATACAAATATCACAGGGTGGAAAACACGCATATATTGTCCAGACAGAGGGACAAGGATCAGAACCCTGAAGAACATTTTGTGCTTTCTCTCCTGTCCTTGCTGGGGACTTGTCTATGTTATCTTTTGGAGAATGCAACAACCAATCCCTGGCAGAGCCAGGCTCAGGAGCCATGGCATCAGTGTAGGAAGTCCACCCTTCTCAGAAGGAGGAAGATGGTCACAAAGCCAGTACCGCATTGTCTACAGGTTCAGTGGGGGAGGACTGTGGAGAGAACAGTCTCAGAAGAGAAAGGACACATCCCTTATCACATGACATTTGCTCTTATCTTTTGAGATTTCAAATAGGCCATCACCAAAGTCCTTGGGAACGGGGCTGGATTGTGTCAACTTGACACTGCTGCCACTCTCTGCCACAGTCTCCCTCCAATGTAGCTCGGAATGCACCTCTCCTGCCGTTTCAGGATAGATCACTGGTGAGGGAGGCCCTGGGAGGCCGTTACACTCAAGCAGCAGCTCCCAGCAGATGATTCAGTACAGTCCGTTTTGAAGCAGATTCCAGATAAGTCCTAGAGAAGCTACCTGCCTCAGTGCCACCAGCTAACATTGTCAATGATGGCTTCCCCGACCTATTCTCCCTCAGTTCATAATCCCCTGTATTAAAAGCCTTTCTTTTTTTATTTTTATTTTTTTTAGTTGTAGATGGACACAATACCTTTATTTTATTTATTTTTTATGTGGTCCCAGGGATCACACCTAGTGCCTCACGCATGCTAGGCCAGCACTCTACCACTGAGCCACAAACCGGGCCCAAAAGCCTTTCTATTTAATATGCACAGTGTGGTTTCTCTGTTCCTGATTATTACAGTAATTAGGCCAAACCTCAGGATCCTCAGTTTGCCTGCCTCATGGGGAAATGGGCATTCTTCCCTTGTCTCGTCCTCAACTTTGGTTAGAGGAGACCGCCAGAGGGAAAGTCGGTTTAATGGTGTCCCATCTTAGGAAAATGTGGGCTAATGGAGCAAGCAAGAAAGTTTAAAAACTTCCACATCTTCCATTCGTCCTATTTTTCCTTATTTTTATCAAAGTAATCAATATATACGGTTTTAAAGAAGATTAGAATGCCTAGTAATGTATAAAAAGCCTCCACCTATACATGCATTATAAATCTGTGCAAACATAGACTATACAGTACTAAGAGCGAAACATGGGCTTTGGGTGGGATTGCTGTGTCGATGTAGATTCATCGATGTAGCCGATGTACCACTCTGGTTAGGGATGTCAGTAATGTGGGAGGAGGTGCATGTATGGATGCAGGGGATGGATGGGAACTCTCTCTATATCTTCTTAGTTTTTCTGCCAACCTATAACTACTCTGAAATATAAAGTTTATTTTAACAGAAGCCCCTGACTCATCTTTCCCTAGTCTCAGTCCACTTTCCCAAAGTAGTTACTGAATACCTCTAAATAATGTTATTTGTATGTTGTGTAAACAATGTCTTTACTGTGATTTTTGATTCATCGTTATAGATGTGATCAACTTCCCATTCCATTAAATGAAATTTTCTCTCTCATGTATCTTTGGGTCAGTGGGAGGTTGGTTGACCTACCTAAGCCTGGCTGTCTGGACTGGCTTCAACTGTGGATCCCGCAAGCTTGGCTTCTTGCTGTAGGTTGGGCTCAGCTTTGCTCCACATGCATTTACATCAGTGTTCAAGATGTAGGGGCAGGGAAACTCTTCCCTGATGATGGCCAAAGCACAAAAGAGAAATCTCACTGCACAAGCAAACCCCCACCATCATCTCTTTGGCCAAAGTACATGGGGTGGCCAAGGTCAAGGGTGAAGATGTGTACTCTTTAGTAGGAGGGACTACAAAGTCATGTTGCAAAAGGTGTGGGGAAGGGTGAAGAATTGGGGCCATTTATTACCGTATGTCATACTTAATTCTATTTTCTAAAACTTTCTCTCTGTATAACAGTGTTAGGCTCAGATAATACCACAATGCAGCATTGCCCAATGGTTGGCCTCTTTTAAGTGGTTGATAAATATGCTGATTAGTTTCTTAAATCTCAACGCTACTGCAGGGTTCTGAGAAGGAGTTTCCTAGGACAGTTTAGGTTGAGAGGATGAAGAAAGTTGAGTGCAGCTTTTTCACATAGGTCTAGCGTGACTCGCCTTTGTCCTCTCCCCCCTCTGTGCAGTTAAGACTGTCTTCAGGTGGTGTGTAGACAGCGAGTTGTTGCGGAAACATCATTTGATCAGCCCAGAAGATTACTACAGTGACACCGTGCCATTTTGCTCGGCACCTAAAGGTAATGCTTCTGTTTTCAGAGCTTTGGGTATCATTCCAGGGACATTCCATAGTAGCAGGGCCACATCAGCCACCTTTGTGGCCGTTTCATCACTCGAAGGGTTTTTCCTCTTTAATTTTTATAGTGACAATTAGGAGGGTCAAATCTGAGTGTGCCACTTCCTCACTCTCTCACTGCCTGTAAGACAGAAGTTTCAGACTTTTCAGACTCTCTGAAGACATCATAAGAGACCCCCAGATTTTTGGATGTAATTGACTAGACCTACAAAGGAAGGGATTGAAGGCATCTATTAGCAGGGGAGCAAGTTCTGATGAGGCACAATGTGGACAAAGTCTACCCCATTGGGAAAAAGAGAAGCTTCTCACTAAGAATGGGCAGAAGTATGATTTGGGAGGCAGAGAGGGTGTGTTTGCATGTGTGTGAGATATTGGGCCAGTTTTCTGTGATCAGAGAGGCAAGATCTTCTGAGAATGAGTAGGTTGTGGGCTTATGCAAGGAAGCAGATTTTGAAAGAGTCACTGTGTGGATGAACAGAGTCTCTGTGAACCCTGTGGCCAAGCATTAGGATTGCCAAGTGGTGCCAAGCTCTCCAGCAGACCTGGTCAGTGGGAGTGTGTGATGATGCCTGGGGTTTTATAGCTTAGAAGGCATCTGGAGGTGGGAAGACTGGGATCCAGAGAGTTGAGAGTGGTGATGAGAAAAGAGTTTCAGTGATGAGTTCCTGATCCACATAGGGAAGAAAAGCCAGGAAGGGGGTAGCAGAATTAAGTGTCATGGATACTAAGCCACTCAGTATTTTAGTTAGTTGGATACTATCTTATGCAGGTAAATAACCTGTGCTCAGAAATGGGATTGGGCGGGGACCAATTTTCATTGAGAACATTCATTGCAGTAAGAATGCATTTTGCTTTTGGAGGATGATCTTATCAATGTTAAAAAGTTAATGTAAGCTGGGCGCTGTGGCACATGCCCGTAATCCCAACGGCTCGGGAGGCTGAGGCGGGAGGATCGTGAGTTCTAAGTCTCAGCAATAGTGATGCACTAAGCAACTCAGTGAGACCCTGTCTCTAAATAATATACAAAATAGGGCTGGGAATGTGGTTCAGTGGTTTGAGTGCTCCCGAGTTCAGTCCCCAAAACCAAAAAAAAAAAAAAGCTAATGCAAATTTTGATTCCTTGTGTAAGCTTTTCAAAAGTCACGTTCTGGGGTATGTGTATATGTGTGTATGACAATGGTCCACTCATGTTTTTTGGATTGGAAAATTGAAAGATATTTTAACCCTGTAGTTCTAAATTGGAAATACAAGAAATAAGTTCTGAGAGTAATTCACATGTTGAAGAGGGATTACATCTGATGCAGAAAATGTGACATTCGTGCTGACTGTGGCTTTATGTGGTCCTCTTAGAAGCACCCACTTCCTCATCTCAGTTACGGTAGGTAGCTCAGTTTGTTCCTTTGGTGCCCTAGGCAGTTCTATCCCTGGATATTCAAAACTGACGTTCAGTAGTCAGAAGCGTTTCACCCCCAAAGGAGCATTGGGCAAGAAGCTTGCAGTGCCCTACAAGGAGAAGCTTGGAGATGAGTTCGACTACACTGTGGACAGCCAGGAATGGGACTCAATTCCTAAGGCCAAACAAACAACCAAAGAAACCATCAAGGTTTGTTTTGAGGCCTGTGCACAGCCATGTGTGTGGGTGGTGGAGACAGGGAGGTGGTGCGGGGAAAAGAGTTCAGATGACACAAAAAGTCGTGATGAATTCACAGCAAATTAGAGTTGGTGTTGGCATCTGCAGGTCATGCCAAGATGTCAGCACGTACAGCACAGTCCCTTTGCCTGTCATTGACTATACTTCTGTGTGTTTCAAAGAAACCAAGTCTACCGAAGAATAAAAACTGGATGAAACACTTACGCATGCCCCAGAGAGAACTGGAGCGTCGACTTCTTGCCAGAATGGAGAATCGAAACCACTTCCTGAGAAACCCTCGGTTTTTCCCTCCTAACACTCCACATGGAGGCAAATCTCTTATTTTTCCTCCAATTAAGCCAGAACTGATGGGAGAACACCCGAGTGCAGAGCTGGAACAGAGGTACGTCTTTCCCTGACTTACACTCTCGGACAACCTGACCCTTTATGGTAAACCCAGAAGGTCCTGGGTCTGGTCCCCCTAGAGTTTGGGGGGCAGGGTAGCAGTATCCAAATATAGAGCAGGGCTTCAAGGTTACCCACAGACATGGCCTTTGGGCATTCCCCAGAGTCTTAGTCTTATACTTTTCTGATCTGTCAGGTTCATAAATAGGGGAAGAGAGAAAATGGGGGTTGGTGTAGGCCCTCTGTTGACAGTGGAGCAGTTTGGGTCATGTGAGAGGAGTCTTCATAGCCATGTACTCCTTCCATGGAATGTATGTACCTTGGATAATACCAGTGCTTTCAGTTTGATTAGTTAAATGTAGTTAGTGCAAATTGTGATTCTTTCTTCAAGAGTATCTTTGTCTCTATTTTCAGTAATTGTTCTAATGAAGGGAACAAATTGCTTCATAGGTGTGTCATTTTAATGGACTTAAAACTATTAGCATTTTTTATTAGACAACTGATATTTTTGTATAAAGAAATATTGGAAAAGACTAACATTTGAAAATAAAAACTATTAAAAAACTAGTTAACATATTGGCATTTAAGCTTCCAGAGTTTCCCCTGTGCATATTGAAAACCATATACATGGCTGCACATGTCTCCATAAGGACTGGATCATGTGTTAAATTATTTTGTAACCTGTTTAAACAACAGCAATCAAAAACCCCAACAAATGACATACTGTGAATATCTTTGCTGGCTGCCTGTGTTTTTGTGTTAACATCACTGCTTGGTATTTTGTCATGTAGAAGACACTCACAGCCTTTCTCTCCTCTGTTTTCCTCCCACAGCTGCATGGATGCTCCAGTGTTTCTTGCTAAACCATCAATTGGGTTTTTCACAGATTATGAAATTGGACCAGTTTATGAGGTAGAAATCTTGATTCTTTATCAATCTCACCTCATTTCCTTCCTTATTAAAAACATCTTTATTATGGAATTTTCAAAATATGAACCATACACAAAACTAGGCAAAAGATGGTAACGTACCCTCATGGGCCCATCATCCAATGTAGTTATCTACATTTTGCAAATTTGGTTTCGTCTGTCACCCCGTAACTTCTTCATATGTGTCCACATGCACATTCACCAGCTGGCATATTGTGAGGGAAAGCCAGCACATTCTTCTTCAGTTAATAGTTAAGTATCTCTAACAGACAAGGACTTTTAAAAAGCAACCATAATTCTATTATCACAATTGGCCATACTAGCCAGGATTCCTTAATGTAGACTAATAACCTATCAATATTTGATCTTGCTCCATTTGATAAAAAAAAGTCAGTGTATTTATTGGCATCAGAATCTAAACATTGCATCTGAGTACAAATAATTCTTTGTTTTCCCTTAGTTGAGAATAATTCCTCCTCCAAATCTAAGTTTTTTAAAATGCCATTTATTTGTAGAAGAAACTTAATTTTTTGCATTCTGGATTTGGCCAGTTGTTGTCTTGTTGGTGATATTAACTATGTCCCTTTATTCTCCACCTTTTACATAAACTGATATGGTAATTAAATGTAGAGGTTTTTGATTAGATGATTAGATTCAGGTTCAATTTTGTTTTCTTTTTGGAAAGAATACTTCTTTAGTGGTACTGTGTATTTCTTATTGCTCAGGAGGAAGCACTCTCTCTGGGGTCAGGTGTTGTAAGCCTTTCTAACGTTCTTATCAACCGTCAACTTCCTAGTTAGCAGCGGTGGATGATTGTTGCCTGCTTTTTTTAAAATTGGAGTTACAAAATGGTGATTTATAGTTTTGTTTTTCCTTTTGCATTCATCAGCTATGATTTTCCCATTGGGAGAAAAAAAAACCAACTTTCCCTCTAACTTCTATTCTCATCTCCCCTTCCATTGTTTCTTTTTGGAACCATAAGCAAACATGTATATATATATTTTTTTTATTTTAATTTTTTATTGTTGAAAGAGCATGCTACAGGGACACTGTTACATCGATGTTCATAGCAGCACAATTCACATGTATATATTTTTGAGTCCCTCTCCTCCTTACTCTCCTCTGCCCCTTAACAGCATACCCAGCAATTCCTCTGAGAGCCACACATAGAGATTTTCTTATCTCTTTTCCCAACTTCTGCCTTAACACTGGCCTCCCACCACTCTGGGGAATCAGGTCACAACCACACTTGGCTCCACCCACCAGGTGCAAAGGCCTCTTGACAACAGCCCCTTCACATGCAGTGGATTGCACTGTAGAGTTTAAAGAGCTTGTGCATATCCATATCTTTAGGAACTTCTCAACCACTCATGGCAAAAGGGGCACACACACACACACACACACACACACACACACACCCTTAATGACTGGGTGTAGCAATGTTCTAGAATAGCATGAGGGACCAGAAGTATCACTATAGCCATTTTTGGAAAATCAAATCCAGATTGGTGGATTGTATCTAGTGAGTTCTCTTGGGAATCACCATGTGTCTGTTGGGCCTGTGACTGTGCACATAACAGTATTAACCAGCTACACTATGAAGTTTAAGGATGTTTCAAATTTCCAGAGTCTTTAAAAATGTATGTTCCATGCACCCTGAAATTTCCAGGGAACGTGCTCCATAGACATAAGTGAACCAAGGTAGAGGAAGACATGGAACATGGAAAGAGATCCAACATAGGAGGGGGTGAAGGGAACCCTCAGTTTAAAACTTGTCAGGGAATTTTGGGGGTTTCTGTTGCTGCAGAGCAAATTTCTCTAAACTTAGTGACAACCATTTTTATTGTGCTTATTGATTCTTTTTTAAAAAATACTTTTTTAGTTGTAGATAGACACAATACCTTTTTTAAAATTTCTTTATTTTTATGTGGTGCTGAGGATTGAACCCAGTGCCTCACACATGCCATGCAAGTGCTCTGCCCCTGAGCCACAATCCTAGCCCACTTATTGATTCTTTGGGTTGGAAATTTGAGCAAGGCACAATGGGAATGGCTTATTCTGCAATGTTTTAAGACCAGGACTGGTAAGTTGGTGTTTAGAGGTGACTCAAAAGTTTGGGATTGGAATTCTCCGAGGCATTTCATTCCCATGGGTGCTGATGCTGAGTTAGTCGACTAGAACACTGACCTAGAGCTTCTCTACCTGATCTGGGGTACCTCACAGTGTGGCGGTCTCAGGTAGTGAGACTTTTACATGACAACAAGAAGTGAGCATCCTTGCAAGCCAGACGGCTTTTATGGCCTAACCTTGGCAGCTACACAGCACTACTTCCTCTGAAAGCGAGTTGGTTATTAACTTCAGAAAAATACATGTTTTTGCGAGGGAGGGAAAGAAAGCCGAGTTTGCCTCCTGCTCAGCTGGGAATAGCATTTACAGAGTGCCTTTAATATACTCATTACTGACCTAACCAGTAACATGATGTAACTCTGCTGGGAAGATGGGGGATAGGAAGGGAAAGTCACACATTGAATTGGATATGGGAGAGGAAAGAGGGCATAGCCACATGATCCATCTGCCATTAATCCCTAAAACTGAAGGGGAAAACGTAATGTGCAACTCAGAGACATGGAAATAAATAACAATCAGCTGAAGGAGGAAAAAGCATTTGCCCTTAGAAGGTGGGAAATGGCAGGGTGGAGACCAGGGGAAGGATTTCTATTTTCAAAACCTCGTAGAACTTTCTGCCTCTTCAAACTAGGAGGCTGTCCCACTCTGGTGAAAATAACTTTAAAAAGCACTTTCTATATAAAATAAAAACTACATTGTACCAAACATTCAAGATGTAGGCTACCAAACATTCAAGCTAATGCCTATTGTGTATAAATTTTAATTATAAGCTTTAAAATTAACTTATGTAAGTTTTATATGAATTGTTTTAGATGCTAGAAAAAGAGGGAACCTGCCCTCATTATTAGATAATGAGCCAAAGATTACCTTGACACTAAATGAAAAAATGCAAATTGATCTTGCTGAAGAACATAGGTACAGAAATACTAGGTAAAAAGCAGCAAATCAAAGCGAGCAGGAATTAAAAAACAAACATACACACAGGAGTAAGTGTAACTCAGGAATGCAAAGAATGTCTCAGTGGGGGCTGAGTTGGCAGCTGGCTGCCTCAGCCTCTCATTTTTCCCTCCAAGGCTTCTAGTGCTGGTAAGGAAAGCCAATCCACTCCACGCTCCATATAATTATCACTGCCTCAGACCTTCCAGCCTCCCCAGCTACCACTTGTCACTGCCTGACCGTCTACTGTTTCCTCATCCCAGCTGACCACTGGTGGAAGCATTAATAATTGTGATGCTACCATGCTAGGAGCCTCTCACCCTGCTTCCTGCCAGCTAGGGTTCTTACTGCCACCAGACTGGTAAGCCAATTCCAGAATGGCATCCTCAGGGTCTACTGTTTTAGTACCCTTCTTGTACTGTGTGGGCTCAGATTTCCCGCATAGCAGAGCCTGAGATGGTGAGATTATTTACTATCATTTACAGTTCCAGTGAGGGAAGAGGGAAAGGGGATAAAGGAGGGAGAGCTAATATGAAGCTGTACTTTAGAGCTGACCCCCATTAAGTGCAATCGATTGCCTTGTCTAGTGGGACATGCCCTGAAAAGCCTATAACCCCCTGGCTCCTGCCTTTCCCCAGTGAGAGGTTTGCCTTGCGTGGCTGGAAGCAAGACATGACTCAGTTGACGTGAACAGGTACTGCCAGGAGCACCTCAATTTTTAATGACAGCAGTGGCTGCAACTAGCTCTGTGACTAAGGGATCAGTGCATGCTCTTACTACCGTGGATGTGTGCAGACCTGCCAATACCCATACCCCAAACCAAAAAATCCAGTAAACAGCTCAAGGTAAAAGAGCTATTTTAGTAAAAAATATAGCGAATATGGAAAGATTTCCTGAAACTGAAGCACAAACCATAAACGACTGATAAATTTTATATTAAAATTTTAGAAACAAGCTGAGGGTGTAGCTCAGAGGTAGAGTGTGTGCTTAGCATGCATAAGACCATGGGTTCAACTCCTAGAATGTACACACACACACAAATTTTAGGAAGCATAAATCAAAAGATAATGCAAGTTTGTAAACTGGAAAATGTTTATAGTTTCTACTTTATAAAGAATTAGTTTCAACATATATAAAGAACACCTACAAATCAATAAGATAAAAACAAACTGTAATGGCAAGAGGTAAGAGGACATGAGTAAACAACTCACAGAAGAGTAAACCCAAATAGCAAATAAACATGAAAAGATGCTCACTATCAATAACAGAGGAATGAAAATTAAAACTGTAAAATGGGTCTTTCTAAATTGTGGCCTGGTTCACAGGTAGATTGATCAAAATGTTGTGCTGGTGAAAAATGGACTTAAGAGGGGCTGGAGATGTAGCTCAGTGGTATAGCACCTGCCTACCATGCACAAAACCTGGATTCAATCTCAAGCACTGGGGGGAGGGGGAACTTAGTTGTTGATTTAGGAATATATATCTCTGAATAAAAATATGAAGGCGTATTTCAAATCTATGTAGATGATATCTGATGGGGAGCTGGTAGAGGGTTTCAACTGAATTTATTCTATTACCTAACTTAAGAAACATGGCTTTTGTTGTGTTATAATTTATACATTTTTTCCTAGTATTATATTTCACAAAACAGAAGAAAAAGATATGTACATGTTTTAGGCTCCCTCCTTTGTGCTGGGTGCTGTTGTGGTTGAGTTCCAGGGCTTACCCTTAGGGATCTCCCACTCTGAGGCAGGGAGAGAGGTGGGATTTCAAAGGGGCCGGATGGGTTGCCCGATGGAGAAGCCCAGTTACAGCCCTGACACACATGTGCCCACAATATATCTTGACTGGGCCTGTGGGAAGAAGTGGCTCAAAGGAAAATGTGGGGAAGAAGACAATACATGAGGTGAGCTGGTCAACACTTTGGATCCAAATGTCTTGAATTTGAATCTCTGAGGAGCCTCTTGCACCTCAGGTTCTTCACCTGTTAAATAGAAAAAGTGCTCGCCTTTCCAGGTTGTTGAGAGGTTGAGGAGGCACAGAGTAGATGCTCAGTAAATAGTATGATCAGCTTTCTGTATCTTTTAAAGGATAGCTTTCACCTAAGAAGGGCCTTAACCTAAGTGAATCCATTTTGAAATAAAACTGCAGTTCCCCACCAGGCACACCTACAGAGCCCTCCAATATGGTCCCCAGTCATAGCCTGATAAAATAAGTCACTTTCCATAACCCTGATAAAACTCAGAGTGAAGTGTCTGTCATTTGCCTTCGTCCTGATAAAGGCAAAAGGCGAGAGATCAGGAAACCACAGATCAGATGGCTTGACTTCAGAATGAAAGACATCACTGAGAAACCCAATAACAGCTGATAGGGATTGAAAGGGCAGTCAGAAGCCCCAAAATTTAACATAAATGATGGAGCAAATGAACAGACGTTCAGCCAGTTGACACTGATGCACACAAGCCTGAGAGCCTGATGAGGACCTGGGCTGACCTCCCAACTCTTCTCATCTGCCTGATCCTCTGTGTTCTCACCACTCTCAAACTCTACAGCAGCCTCTTGACTCTGGTGAGAACAAGATTTCTCCTTATGACCATCTCCTCTGTCTATTCCGGACTGGTTGCTGCGGTCTGAGTGAGTGTGCATCTGCTGGACTTAAGATCTAAGACTTAAGACTTTGAATCTAGCACTTAAGCTTAGCATGCAGAGGGAATGTCTGTAACAGGTCTGTCATGATTAAGTGTGTTTGCAGTGCTTAGAATTAACATAGAATTGTTTGCTTTGAATTGATTCTGTCTATCGCAATGCCCAGCATTAAGGATTGTCATTCCTTGATTACGAACCTACAGAGTGAAATTGTATTGAGTAAACAAAACATTGAAAAGAGCAGAAGCGCATGGACATTCTTTATCTCTCTCCTCCACTGCAGATGTCACACTTTTGCTCATCGCGACAATCTGCAAGTTCCATAGCCATGGATTCGACCAAGAATAGATTGAAAATATCACTCTTCCCCGTTCTGAAAGTTCCATAAAGCCGAATTTGGATTTGCTGAGTGCTGAGCACTGTGCTAAATTCCTGAAGGTGTAACAATATATAGGCGGACCCTGCCAAAGTATCCCATCATTTCACTTTGAGCATTGTTCACCTTGAGTCTCGTTCACATACTATTTAATTAGGCCTACAAGGTTTGCATCTGTACTGAACATATACAGACATTTTTCTTGTCATTGTTCCCTAAACAATACAGTATAAGAACTATTTACATAGAGCTTACGTTGTATTAGTTACTGTAAGTAATCTAGAGATGATGGACACCAAAAGGCTGAGAAGTGATAGAGGATGTGTGTAGAGTGTGTGTCAATACTGAGCCATTTTATAGAAGGGATTTGGTAAGGGATCTGCAGGTTTAGTTATCTTCTCAGGTCCTGGAACCAACCATATGGATACAGAGAGACTATTGTAGTTGTTTTAAGCAATGGGACAAAATAGATCAGCTCTACTTCCCTCTTCATCTTTAAGGTTTTAAAATTTTTTTTTTACTGTGGAAACTTCCTGAAACAAACAAAAGTAGATAGAATAACATAATGAATCCCGTATGCTCATCACTGAGCTCCAATACTTACTTACACATGGCCAGGTTTATTTCATTTATGCCTCCTCCCTTTCCATATTACTTGAAGTTCCAGACACCACATGGCCAGGTACTTAAATGCTGTCTAAAAGAGATCACCCTTGCCTTTGAACAGATGGTCATCTCGCTGCAGAACACCACCTCTGCCAGTCGCTACCTGCGAGTCCTCCCGCCTTCTACTCCACACTTTGCTCTGGGATTGGGTGAGTTTAGCGTAGTCGCTTTCTAGATGGCTACAAAATTACCTGCTGGGCTGGCTGCTGGGACTGAGCCACCGGGTCCTGCGGACTCCCTGACCTGGGCTCAGGGCTTCTCCCTCAGCAGTCACTGGAGGCCCTCATGCTCGGCTCAGAGCCTCCCAGTGACGCCCCAGCACCACTCTCCTGATCACCTCCCTCAAGGCACTGGTTCTGCCATCTCCTGTGCTTCACGCTGTCACTGCCCTTAGTCAGGCCCTCCTCCTGGCTCATGTCCCTGCAGCCACCTCCCAGATTGGGTGGGAGTGTCGGTCTCAATACAACCCCATTCATGTCACTCCTGCCCAGAAATCTCAAAGGACTCCCTACTGCCCACAAAATAAATTTTAAGCCACATGAGCCAGGCTAACCATTTCAGATGGATCATGGCAAACCCCCACCTCCCCTCCGCTTGGGCCTTAGTTTTGTTTTTTTTTGGCCTGGAGTCCCTGCCCTTGAAGCCTGTCCCCTAGCACACCCTGGTGGTTCTGCCTGGCCTTGACCCAGAAGGGATTCACTCACAGAGCCAGATCCAGCCGTGGTTGGTCTGAGGCAGCTAGGCTCAGCCAGGGTGGTTGGTCCTGATCCTCTTTGGTGGCTTTTGTCCTGCGCAGGGATGTTCCCAGGAAAAGGTGGAATGGTGGCTCCCGGCATGACTTGCCAGTACACTATACAGTTTATCCCGGACTGTCTCGGGGATTTTGATGATTTCATTTTAGTCGAGACCCAGTCAACTCACACGCTCCTGATCCCCCTGCAGGCCCGGAGGCCGCCCCCCGTGCTGACCTGTGAGTGTGTGCTACCCTTCCCAGGGATTCAGTTAGGGCCAGGAGTCCCCACGAGGACTACCTGCCCCTTGGGTAGCAGTGTAGAGCTTGGTCCTCTCAGGCTTTTGGGTGGGGGACTGCCAAGCAGCTTCCACACCATCTTCCAGAATGTCAGGACCGACAATGTCAGTGATACCTGACAATGTCAGTGACCTACTGTTCACTTTGGGTGTCCCCTGGAGGTTGACCCACATGGGAGGGAGGGAGGCCTGCAGCCCAGCTAACCCCATCACAGATGTGGCTGGCTGGTGAACACCCCTGACGCCATACTGAGTGAGGCAAGAAGCAAGTGCCGGGGCACCCTGAGGAGCTTGCAGTGGATGTTGTCTCTGTGGCCATGGGGTGAGCTCCCGTGGAAGAATTTCCATTGGGCACCCTCAGTCATAAGTCTTTTTCAGCTGGATGTAGGTGAAATTTGGGACTCTGATCCCCCTCACTTCTGCCACAATCCCTAGGGTCATGCTGGGTGGCCCTGGCCAAGGCAGGAGCCCACAGTGTGTGCGGATCCCACTTCCTGGCCGGGAGTAGACAAGAGTCCTATGGTGCTACTGCCATGTGGCGCAGAGCAGCTTGAGTAGGACCCAATTGGCACAGGGTCAGGTGTCCCCTTTATCCCCTCTGCTTGGGGTGCTGGCCTAGGACCCCCACATCCTTATGCAGCTGCTGTGAGCTCTGGCTGAACCTCAGGATCACAATGACAACAGGGCCCATTCAGCGTGACCTATTGCCTCTCTCATGCATCTTCTCCTGTGGCTGCAGTGTCTCCAGTGTTGGACTGTGGTTACTGCCTCATTGGGGGAATAAAGGTAACCAGATTCATCTGCAAAAATGTGGGCTTCAGCGCTGGCAAATTCTGCATTATGCCCAAAAAGAGTTGGCCACCACCAAGTTTCAGGGTGAGTGATAATAGATTGGAAAAAGAGCAAATCCATCAAAGCAAATAACCTTCTAGAGGGAGTTGCTAGACTGCACCCCATGATTGGAAACGCACAAAAGCAGAAGGGTGTCCCTGGCATGGCTGAGTGAGGATGAGTGTGGAGACCAAGGTGGTAGTTCTGGTCATGGCACTAACACTATGACCCTGTCAGCCAGGGCTGGAAGGCAGGGTCTGTGCACTTGCCCCATTGGCCTGGCTTCTCCAATGCCCGAGCAGCTCCAGCCTGACATCCTTGATCAGCATGAGTGTGCTGTTCTTTGTGTTTAGTAGGGAGATTCCTCTGTACCCTTATGTCCAGAAAACATGTGCTAGATCCAGAGGACCTCACATCCCAAGGAGCATATTTTTCTCCCTTCAGATACCTGCCAGGGTCTTGCAGGCATGATTTTGTATCCCGGGCATGCTCAGAGGCTTCGCATGTAGACACTGGGGCTGCAGCTCTGCTAACAGGATAGCAGGTGCCCCCCATGAAACAGGAGCACAGGGCCAAGGGTGGGATGGGAATGGAGGCAGACATACACCGGCACCACCGGCAGGATGTTGTGGCAGGGAAAGGACGATGTGCCTTAGGAGGACCTTCTCACCCCCTCCTGCTTGTGTCCCATGCACTTGTCCATGACATTCCTTGCACCTGCTGCCAGTGGTCAGCTCTTTAAAGCTCTGTGACTTCCTCATCTTTAACCTTCAGAATCTTGTGCCTGGCACCTAGTGAAAGGCAAGACAGCGCATGCATGCTCAATGAGGGCATCACAGACTCTTTACAGGATCCCTCAGATAGCAACATGAATGATAGAAGTCTGCAACGTGAGCACTGGGCTTTACACTCTTCCCCACACCTTTGTGTAATCTGCATGTCTTTAAGGCGGTTGCAACTTCCGGCTTTGTTGAGCAGCCTCCCTTTGGAGTCATGCCATCCATGTTTGAGCTGGCCCCAGGCTCTGCTGTGTTAATAGAGGTAGGTAAGGAGACACTGGCTCATGGTCCTTCCTCTTCATGATTGCTCATGGCTGTTTCTTCCGCTGCTGCATGATTGCATTTGCCTGTGATTTCATGACCCAAGTACATGTTCCTGCATCTTGTAGGCCATTGTCATTTGGCTGTCTTATGACCTCTCTCTCTCTTTTTTTTTTTGGTACTGGGAATTGAACTCAGGGGCATTCAACTACTGAGCCACATCCCTACCCCTATTTTGTAGGAACGTGGGGTCTGAGTTGCTTAGTGCCTCGCTGTTGCTGAGGCTGGCTTTGAACTCACACCTCCTGTCTCAGCCTCCTGAGCTGCTGAGACTACAGGTGTGCCCCACCGTGCCTGGCCTTATGAATGACCTCTCTTGCAAAGCAGATGGAGCTGTCATTTCCAGTGTAGTCCCTGAACATCTCTTGTCTGTAGCTGGGATTCACCTCCAGCCATTACAGAAAACACTATGGAGGTTTCTCTAGAATTAAAAATAGAACTACCACATGATCCAGCTGACCCTCTGCTGGGTATATACCCAAAGAAATGAAATCAGTATGTCGAAGAGGCATCTGCAATCCCATGTCTTTGACAGCACTATTCACAAAAGCCAAGATAGGGAATCATCCTGAGTGTCCATCAATGGATGAATGGATAAAGAAAATGTGGTATCCATATGCAATGGAATATTATTCAGCCTTTAAAAAGGTGCAAATTCGGTCATTTGGGATAACATAGATGAAACTGGAAGACATTATGTTGAGTGACATAAATCAAGCATAGAAAGACAAATACTGCATGATCTCACTTAACTATTGAATCTTAAAATAGAGCTTGGAGTAACAAAGTAGAATGGTGGTTACCAGGGCCTGCGGGTGGAGAGAAATTGGGGGGAAATATAGTACAAAATGTATTACAGAGTGAGCTTTTGCTCTGTGCCAGTATCATCAGGGGGAAAAAAAAAAAACTGTCTTCTGGGTAGTTTTTATTTGTTAGAAATGAGGTTGCATGTTGTCATCTGTTTTTTGAACTTTGTTTTCACACCCTTTCAGTCTACTCCCTGCGTTACTCTGGGATAGGGCCTGGACTGAAACCTCTAGGTTTGGGGGGGGGGTCAGGCAGGGAGGCTGGGGAGCAGAGAGCAAAGGGAGAGTGCATGTCTGAGGAAGGAAAGAGGTAGGGGTGGGAGCCCCTGATGAGGGGTGACAGGGCACCCTCTTCTCCCCCAGGTCTTGTTCCTCCCAATGAGCCTGGAAAAGGTAGAGCAGACCTTCATCATCGTGTGTGACAACTGCCAAGTCAGGGAGCTGGTGATCACAGGTGGGCTTGTGTGCACTCCTGGGGCCTGGTGGGCACGGACACTGCCTCGGGAGCTGCTTTCGCTGCACAGCGGCCCGGCTTCACGCACCCTGTGTCAGGCAGCCACGGGGGATGCTGGGGTCACCAGGTGCCAGGCACTAGCTTTTGGCCCTTCATTCTTGGATCTTGAATACCCAAGCTAGAGTGGCCTCCAGGATAATTCAAGGGGCCTTTTGGTGAGGAACAGATGGAAACCTGGGGTGCCATTTTGTAATTTCCCTTTGGATCTCGCTATGATCTCATTTGGGGAATTATCAGCAACACACAGAAACCACCAGGGGCACCTTTAGGTTTCCGGAAGGTTAGAAGGGCCTTCTCAACCTTTCTGCCTTCTCCCCGCCCCCTCCCTTCCTTCCACCCAGTTTCACTTGGCAGGTATTAATTGAGTGCTTGCTATATTCAAAGTTCTCAAAATACCCTCCTTTTGGTCTGTGAAGAGATGAGGACATGAGTACGTGTGCTAATGGCCCTCTTTTCCCTCTTGCATGTGCTTCTGGGAATCATGGTCAAGGGCCACTGAATGAGGGTGGTGGCATGGGTCCTAGGGCAGCTATTGATCAGAGTCCTGCCTTCAGCTTACGGGAGCTTCTCTGAACATTACCTACTTGGTCAGGAAGGGGGCAGCTGATCGCTTTGGATCTTATCTATGTTTCTGGTGAAAAAAGTCAACCGGACCCTGGAGAGCTCACAGATTTAACGGCCCAGCACTTCATACGCTTCAAGCCTGAAAACATTCGGTCCACAGCAAGGAAACAGCTGATTATCCGAAATGCTACGTGAGCTGCCCCTGGGTGTGCCCCTGACACGTACCCCTGCCCCTTCCTCTTCCCCTTCCCCTTCCTCACCTGACCCTGAATTTCCACTCAGGCCGGAGCTTCCTTGCCTTGGGGATTCTGATCTCAGATTAGATCCAGACCGAATGGAAGGACCCAGATTTACACTGTCCATCACGGTGGCCACCAGGCACATATGGATTTTTAAATCTAAATCAAATAAAATTACAGTTTCCTTCTAGAGCGCTAGTCAGTCTAAGAGCTCAGTATCCACAGGTAAGCAGTGGCTCCTCTATTAGTGCAGCTCTCTAAGACTTCCATTGCTTCAAGAATCTCACTGACACAGTGCTGCTCTAAACTATTTCAGACCACCCCGAGCCAGGAATAGTTTTCCACCTTACTTCCTGTGCTGGGGAAGTAATCCTGGTCCCCAGCCCTACATCTGTCGGTTCAGCTCTCATTGCCATTTATTTTCTGACCAGCCTCTGAGCATTACCCTTATATCGGGACCAACCTCGGGGAACTTCCAGCCCAGGCTACCTGGTGACCTGAGATACTGACAGCTGCTGTCTACAACATGGCCAGAGTCCTGCCCCTCCTACTGCCGTAGGGTTTTCATTGTTTCTCTTGGCAGTCAGGGGGCACACGTCTTTCAGGACATAGCTGTCCTGGGAGGCGACGGCTGGAGGCGGAGGGCAGGGACGGGGTGGATGTGGCAAAGTGTGGAAACTCTCACTTGGTAGAAGATAGTGCAGAGGATTTTCCTAATATTTCCCAGGGGTTGGGGCTGAGGGGGCTAGATACCTTTAGTTTAATGCTTAGTTTTTAGATTTTAAATCTAAATCAATTAAAAGTAAATTAAATTGAATTGATTTAAATGATTAAATTAAATGATTTCCTGAGTTGTCCGTTTCCCCTGATGTGCTGCGGTTCCAGTCTCTAGAGCTGTGGATGGGAAGAGGTGGCTCTCTTTCGTAGCCTCTAATTTGGGCACCCTGACTCACCTACCGTCCTTATGCAGTTCTCCCTAGGCTCCTCCATGGGAACTGCTTGAAGACTGACCTAGTCACTTCCGGTTTCTGGGTGTTTTCTTGCTTTCTCTTGGAGCAGAGCTGGCCAAGCATGGGGTGGGAGGACCTGGTCCTGGAAGAATTGGAGCACAGCATTGGATGTGCTGCCCACTGTCATGATTGCCCCCACAGACATGTGGAGCTGGCTTTCCACTGGCAGATCATGAAGCCCAACCTGCAGCCCCTAATGCCTGGAGAAACCTACAGCATGGACAGCATCAAGTACCACCCTGACAGGGAGACTGCCTTCTCCATCATACCTGAGAAGGGGGTTCTGAGCCCCCACAACAACCAGGAATTCATCCTGAGCTTTTCTCCTTATGAGGTTAACATGATCTCATTAGCCACACATGATCGTATCATGATCTTTTGCCCCTGAATCCATGTTCTTTAATGACATCAAAGCCACAGCTGAGCCTGAACCAGGTACCTGGGCATCCTGCCAAGATTGGCACCTAGATGGCTTAGCGTGTCACTGGATCATATGCCTGGTGAGCAGGACAAAGCAGATCATACTGCCTGGTCCTGATCCAAGACACCCCACTTGCAACAAGACCTGGGCTCATTTCCACATCCCTGGTTGTGTCAAAGCACATTACCATTCCTACCCATCCTACAGCAGTGCCTAGAGAGGGAGGTGCAGGTTCCCAAGGGCCTGGTTAGCACAGGGCCAGTCTAGAGCCCTTGCTGGTGGTTCTCAGACCTGAGTGAGCAGGGCTGCCTCACTATCTGAGAGTTTGTGCTTCAGACACCCCAAGGCCCTGCCCAGGGCCCATGTCAGCCTGGTGGGGGTTGGGGGATGATTTTGTTGTTCCCCGAGTCAGGGATAGCTCCTATCCTGGCAGCAACCCCACTTTCTTAAGAGGTGGCAGGGAAGCATTTCTGGCACAACTAAGGGGAGGAGAAGCTCCTGCCCACACCTGTCTTCTCTAGGCAGCCTGCAGTATTTTCAGGGTGCTGTGTTTCCTTGTAGCTGAGGAACTACCACAGTGTGCTGCAGATGGTGCTGGAAGAAGTTCCTGAGCCCTTGAAGTGAGTAGGGCCTATGGCTGAGGGTGGGCAGCTGGGCCTAGCCTCCCACTAGGGATGCTTCTGGGGAAGGTTCCAGACAGGGTGGATGAGGAACTTGACCCCAACAGGCTTTGAGGGCTATGAGCATTTTTGCATTGCCCTGGCAATCAGCTTACAGTGGGCACAGGATGCAGGGAGGAGGGTATAGAGTGCCATAGGCCACCCTAGGAACCTTGGGGCTCCAGGCTCACTGTTACCCTTGGATAACCAAGCTGGTGGCATCTAGGTGGTGCTGAGGATGCACTGCTAGGGGTTGGGTCTCCAGTCAGCCTAGTGCAGAGATCCCAGGCTAGGACTGCAGTCTGGTCCCTGGAGGCAGCAGGGCAGTGTCCCCATCTGAGGCCTTCTGTCACAGCACAGGCATTCATAGTCTTCCAGGGCACTGACTGACACTCCTGCTTGTCTCAGGTTGGGAGCTGTGGGTAGGGTGGAATCTTCTTTTCATAAGGCCAACCATGTGGGACAGAGGCAGGGACATGCAGTGATGTCCTGGGCTGCGTCAGCTCCTAGCTCGCGGTGGGTTTGTGTTCAGTTCAGAGGTGAATAATCTGGAGGACTACACATACTCTGTGGATGATGTGATTGTCATGGAAATTGAGGTGAAAGGCTCAGCAGAACCCTTCCAGGTTCTCTTAGAACCCTACGCCCTCATCATCCCAGGGGAGAACTACATTGGCATAAATGTGAAGAAGGATTTTAAGGTAGGTCATCATCTGTCCCCTGTGTGGGCTGACTGAAGCAGTGTGGCACTTGGGTGAGGATACAGGAAGGACAGAGCTGGAGCAGCCACTGCACGGAGCCTGAGGGCCCCTGAACCCAACGGGGGTTCACATAGATGCCTAGAGCCAGGTGAGTCTGTTTTATTTTATCAGTGTTCCAGAGTCTTCTGAAGTTAGGGCTGCTGAACTCACTCCCAGGTTCCCAGGTCATTGGCAGGATATGGCAGGCACCCTCATCCCTGCAGCATGGAGTGAGGGTGCTGTGAGTTGGGAAGGCTATGGCTTCTGGCGGCCAGGAGTTATTTGGGAGGGGGGTCAAGTGGACCCTTTGTGAACCCTCAATCCCACAGTCCTTCAGCAGGTACAGACATGACATGAAAGGGCAGTCCTGGGGCAGCCTAGATTGGGGTGTGTCTTTCAGATGTGGAACAACAGCAAGTCACCCATCAGGTACACGTGGGGGAAGATCAGCCATTGCCACATCATTGAAGTGGAACCCTGCACAGGGGTCATAGGTACCTTGGGGACTGCAGGGGGTGTGACCTCCCTGGGGTGGCTGCAAGAGGCGGTTTTAGGGTTCAAGGGGCCTGCACAAGGCCCTTGGAGTCTTGTGATCAGCTCCGGCATGGCAAGAAATGAGTACAGGCCAGATGTCCAGGCCCAGCCACAGAAGGAAACTTCTCCACTCACTTTCCCCTCTTTCCCAGAGCCCAACGAGGTTGGGGATTTTGAGTTGAACTTTACCGGGGGTGTCCCTGGCCCAGCAAGTCAGGACCTGCTGTGCGAGATCAGAGACTCACCCTCGCCAGTGGTGTTACACATCGAGGCGGCCTTTAAGGTGCTGCAGACGGGGGTTGGGTAGCAGGGTGGGCCCAGAGAGGTGGCAGGGGTAGGACACAGAGCCCACTCCCTGGCTGCTCAGTAACAGATCCTTCCGGATGTCTCAGGGGCCTGCACTTGTCATCAACGTCTCGGCCCTTCAGTTTGGACTGCTCCGCCTGGGGCACAAAGTCTCGAAGTCCATCCAGATCCGGAACATCAGCCAGCTCTCAGCCATGTGGCACATGAGAGAGAGTCCGGTCTGCCTGGAAGAAAGGCATGAAGATGTAAGTCGGGGGCTGCTGGCTCCTAGGATGCCACCTCTCCCAGAAGCCAGTTCACCTTGGCTCAGGTCTGAACTGTGAAACTTGAACTGTGCTTTCCAATCAGAGCCCCGGGGCTGCGAGAGAAGGCACCCTTGGCAATTGTCGCCTGGCCGTGTGTCTAACTCTCCCCACCATGAGGCAGCTCCTCTCCCCAGAATGTGTTCCCCCACCCCAATTCAACAGGTGGTTCTGGTTCCCTTTTCTACCATCAGATGCAAAATAGGACCTGGGCTTCTCCCTTGGCTGAGCAGTCTGAGTTTGGAAGCACATGGGCAGCTGCTTTGGGCAGAGGTCATGTACTGCTGGGCTCCTCCAGGGCTAGGATCCTTCTGGGGCCTATGCCTGCAGTGGGTACTGCCAGCAGGTGGCGCCTGGGCACAGGCATGTGGCCCAAATATGAAGACTTAAATCTAATTTTTTGGTTTTTTGTTTGTTTTTATTTGCATTTTTTTAGCCCTTTCTGTAGCAGAGCTCGGACCCCAAACTTCAATGCCTGAAAGCTGACAAGCACAAAGCCTTCTTTTCCTATGAGAGCAAGTCCTGTGCAGCCCCTGCTAAAGGCCAGGGAGGCTCAGAAGCAGGAGGCCACAGCACCAGGCCGACCCTATGTTTGGGCATGGTGGCCTGGGTGGGGTGGGGGAGGGAAAGGGAAAATCAGGCCACTTAGCACCTCCAGGCAGGCATGACCCTTGCACTCACTGTGAGGTTCTCATGGGAGAGACCCAAGAGAAAGATAAGGTCCCTTCCGATATAACCTTTCCATGTCTAGTGACACCCCACTATTCCGTGTGACCCACCCCGGGTCTTAGGGTTACTCAGAAGAATGTTCCATTTCTCATGAGACGGGAAGAACAAAATGGAAAGAACCCCTTCCTAAGTTCCCTTTCCCTCTCCCCCTCAGCCAAGGTCAACATACCTGATATGAGGGGAGGGACAGACCTTCCAGGTGAAGGAGTCCAATCCTCCAAGGAATGAGAGGGTGGAGAAAAGACCACCTGGGTGGAAAGGAGAAATTGTGGCCCCTTCTGCAATCTGGTGGCCTGATGGCTCTCCTCAACTGAAGCTGTCAGAGTCCTGACCCAGGTTCCCCATAGGGCTCACAGGCTGTCCTCCTGCTCCCCAGCTGGAGTCTCCATCTGCCTGCTCTGGTCTCCCCACATCCTGGGGCCTCCCTCTGCCTTCTACCTCTCAAATCTGGGCCAGGGTGTGGGCACCTGGCTTGTGCATTCCTGTTCTTGGAGACTCACTTTTTAATCCTCAATCCTGAGGCCCTTGCCCAGCCATAGTCCCCCACATGCTTGCCTCTTTCTGGGTCCGAGATGGCTCTGAGAGAGCCAGGGGCCCTTGGAGGTGCACCTGGTTGGGCATGGCCAGCCCCCAGGGCCTCTGCAATTCTCCATGTCCTCACTCCTCATCCTTCTGGATTGGCAGCAGGCATCTCCCTTGGACATTGAGCCTTCAAGTGGTTACCTTTACCCTCTGGGGGAGTGCCAGGTGACTGTAACCTTGGAGGCCTTGCACTGTCAGCGTCTGCAGACTGTACTAGAGCTGGAAGTGGAAAAAGGGACCTGGAGGTACGGGGCTGTGGGGGATGGGAAGATGACAACAGTATGTGCACATTTACAGTATATTTATTTATACCATGTGCAATGATGTATTTATCTAGAGACATTTCTGCATTTAAATTGACTTATACATGTTTATCCTAAAACATTTAAAAATTACCCAGAAGAATATTAAGATGATCCATAATCCATTACCTAGAAATAGTTCACTGATAATATTTTGGGGTATGTCTTTTTAGGATGTGTGTGCTAAAGGAATGTACATTAGTACAACCACCTTCAAAACCATTTTACTGTTTCCTGGTGAGATGTGACATAATAGTGAAAAACTAGAAACCCCAATGTTCATCAACAGGAGAATGAGCACAAAAATAGTGACATATTTCAATGAGCAAATATTTTTGTATTCTGGGAGGGACACACTGGAGATTTCAAAGGTAGTAGTAGTTCTCTTCTTCCTCTTCCCTTGTTTTTTCTTTTTTTGTACTGGGGATTGAACTTAGGGACACTTAACCACTGAGCCACATCCCCAACCCTTTTTATATTTTATTTAGAGACAGGGTCTCACTAAGTTGCTTAGAGTCTTGCTAAATTGTCATTCTGGCTTTGAACTTACAATCCTCCTACTTCAGCCTCCCGAGCAGGCAGGATTACAGACACGCACCACTGCTCTGGCTCCCCTTCCCTTTTCCCTCCCATCTCTCTTTCTTGCTTTCCAGTGGAAAGTTTCTCACCTATATAAAAATAGAATAGTATAATAAGTGCCCATGAACTATCACCTACCTTCAAAAGTTATCAGCTCACTGCAAATAACATTCCATCTACATCCCCCATCCACTCCTCTCAACCCCTTCCAAAGTTAATTTGAAGTGAAATATTTCCTTAAGGCTAGTGGTAATATTTTGTGTCTGAAGCCGGATGGGGATATACCTGTCTTCTTTTTACTATTATTTTTTATATATTTAAGCTCTGCATATATTTTATATTCATTATTGCATGTGTATTCATTATAAAACAATTGAAATGCTCATTTAAAACCTGTATGGATACTCTGGAATTATCCTCCAAAAACACTGCACCATTTTATACTTCCTCCTGTCTGGCCCCATATTCTCATGATGACAGATATTATCTGGCTTTAATAATTTGACCATCTGACGGGGGTGATGCCACCAGTGTTTTGTTGGAAGTCCTTTACTGTGATGACCAGTGCGGGTCTGAGTGTGAGTCTTTCCCACTGGTCCTGCAGGGCACTCTGTGGGCCTTCAACATGAAGGCTAAGTTTGCGTTCACCTCTGGGAACATGGCTTCCATGAAGTCTTATTTTCTTTCCTTTCCTGTCTCTGTTCTTCTGAAAGGACCTTGTATTAACCAAAATGTTTACAGATTGTAGGTGATAGAGCTGCAGACAAGGAAGAAAAAGCATCCCTGCCTTGCCATCCCAAGGGCCAAAACTCTTCCCTTTGTTGGCTGTTCTGTTTTCTCCCATCCTCTACCCTTCTTCCCTCTTGCAACCTCCATCCCAGTCCCAACCCTCAACTCTGCTTCTCTCTGTGGGCCTTTCCCTCCTCTGTTGGTGAGGGCCCTTAGCCACTCTGCCTGAGGAGGCGATCCTTAGAGCCTGGGCTCCCTCTGTGAAAAGTGAACCTGCTTTCTCCAGAGATGGGCCCTGATAGGTCCTCTCTAGGTCGTGTTCCTCCCCTTCCCCAGGTGGGGGGTTAGGAGTAGGGGTGAGAGGTGGGCATCTGTCTCCAGAAGAAGAGAGAGAGTGGGAAAGCTTGCTGAGCTCCCACAGCCCACTCAACACCTGCTGGAAACTTGCAGCATGATTTTAACTGGATTTCTAATATTTCTATTTTTTCAATGGCTTTGCTCCTCACTCAGGGAAGGTGCCCTTGGCCTTGTGGCTCACTCTTTCTGCCTTTGGTGATATGCCTTTCTTTGGAAATCATACTTTTAAATTTTAGGTTTTGGGGGTTGGTTTTGTTTTGTTTTTGTACTAGGTTTTGAACTAGGGGGCACTTAACCACTGAGCCACATCCCCAGTCCTTTTTTGTATTTTATTTAGAGACAGGGTCTCACCGAGTTGCTTAGGGCCTGGCTGATTTGCTGAGGCTAGCTTTGAACTCACAATCTTCCTGCCTCAGCATCCAGACCTGCTGGGATTGATTACCAGCATGGGCCACCGAGCCTGGCTTTGGGGTTGTTCTTTTTTGATAGAAATGTGTTAGCGTCTTGTACATACAAAACCTCTTGCATCCCCCCAAGGAATCTGATTTCCCTTTTCTTGAGTGTTTGTCTGGAGACCTTCTCCCTTCGTTTTTTTTAGTTTTCTTCTACATCTGGCAACCGTTGGCTGTCCACTGCTGTTTCTGAATGGAGGATCTAGTTGATTTGCACACAGAACTGGTGGCGTCAGTTTTCCTCTCAGTAAGTGGGTGTAGGAATGGCAAGCGCCCCTCTTCCAAGGAGTGGAGAGTAGGTGAGCATGTTGCCCCAGAGCACACCATAACCCCAATCCCCTGAGAGGAAGAAGCCTTTAGAGGAAGCAGCCAAGACCGCAAAGGAAGCCCATGTTGGGCAGCTATACAAACCTGTCCATCGCTTCCTTCATAAATAGCAGTGAAAGGCTGGGAACAATTTGGTTGTTTTTCCTCCAGGACAGCTGAGAGGCCCAGGAGTACTGGTGACTCTCTCCTGCCCACACCCATGTTCTCCAAGGGTGGCAAGTACTACAGCCCCGTCTCCCGTATGTGGCCTGAGCTCCAGGCCCGAGGAGACCAAGCCGATCAAGCTCCCAACCCTCCTTGCATGTTCCCAGTTCTTTCCCCATGGCCCACTCCTTCCCTTTGACTCTTGTCATTGACAGTGTCAGCACTTCTCTTCACCTGCACATGACCTTCATTCCAGGGGTTTTAGGAAGCAGTTTTGTTCTCTTCTGTTGTATCAGTTAATCTGATCACATCCTGTTCTCCTTTTCTGCTCCTTATCCTCCTTTTTTCCATGAAATGGCGTTACATTTACCCCTTTCTTTTTTTTTCTTTTGGTGCTGGTGCTGGGTATTGAACTCAGGGCTTCCCTTCTGCTAAGCACGTGCCCACAACCCCAATCTCTTTACCCGTCTTTGTGAGCTTTCGCAGGTGGCCCCTGTGCTGGATATCATAGCTACCCGTCCTGACCGCTCTCCATCCTCCCTGCTGCTCTCTGGTCCTCCACATCCTTAGTCACTTGTGATTCTCTTTCTGGTGGCAGTCATCCTAGCATGAGAGGTGTATTTCCCTGAGGATTGAATTTGCATTTCCCTTTGGCCAGTGAACAGTGCTGAGCATCTGTTCATACACTCATAGGTTATCTGTGTCAATTTTGCACTATATTTTTTCATACAGTGCAAAAAATGGGTCCAATTTTATTCCTTTCCATGAAGTTAACCCATTATCCCAGTACCATTTCTTAAAAACACTATTCTTTACCCACCAAATTGTTTTGGCACACTCAAAAATCAATTGATGGACGTGTGAGGGTTTATTTCTGGATTCTCCATTCTGTTTCACTGAACCACATGTCTGTCCTTGGGCCAGGTGCCACAGTGTGGATCACTGTGGCCTTGTAGTAAATCTGAAAACTGGGAAATATGAATTCTCCAACTTTTTTTCTTTTTCAGGATTGTTTTAGCCATTCTGGATTCTTTGAATTTCCATATGATTTTATGACATCTCCATATAAATCAGTTGGCTAATTTCTGTGAAAAGCCAGCTGTGGTTTCTGTAAGGGAGTGAGTAGCATCTGTAGGTCGATTTGGGGAGTGTCATCTTGGCAGTGTTCTCCATGAGTATGTCTTTCCACTTATGTTCTTTTCATTTAGTTCTATGATATTTCATTGTTTTCAATTCTTATATTTCTTTTATGAAATTATTTATAAATATTTTATGCTTTTTGATGATTTTGGAAGTAGAACCATTTTCTTAACTTTGATTTCTGGTTGTTCATCACTCCTGCATAGAAACACAAATGTTCTTGCATGTTGGTCGTGTATCCTGCAACCATGCTGATCTCATTTATTCGTTCTAATATTGTTCTAAAGAGAAGGACATGTTATTTGCATAAAGATAATTTATTCTATTATTTCTTCTTTGGATTTTATTTGCTCTTTCTCTAGTTTCTTAGGTGGGAGCTGAGGCTTTTGGTATTTTTTTTAATATTGGCATTCATAAATATAAATTTACCTCTGAGCATTGCTTTAGCTGCATCCTATAAGCTTTGAGATGTTGTGTTTTCAATTTCATTGACATAAAAATATTTTCTAATTTCTCTTGTGATTTTTTCTACTTGACCCTAAATTTTTTACTTTATTTATAAGTGTGTTGTTTAATTTACAGATATTTTTGTTTCTCTAATTTCTTTCTGTTGTTGATGTCTAACTGAATTCTGTTGTTATTGGAGAATATACTTTATATAATTACAGTCCTTTAAAGCTCACTGAAGCTTGTTTTATGAGCTCTCTTGTCTTCCATTCTGGAAATGTTTTATATGCCCTAAAGAACATATGTATTCTGGCCAGGCATGGTAGCACACACCTGTAATCCTAGTGACTTGGGAGGCTGAGGCAAGAGGATCTCGAGTTCAAAGCCAGCTTCAGCAAAAAGTTAGGTGCCAAGCAACTCAGTGAGACCCTGTCTTGAAATAAAATACAAAATAGGGCTCAGTATGTGGCTCAGTGATCAAGTGCCTCTGAAATCCCTAGTTACCTCCCCTGCCAAAAAAAGAATTATATGTATTCTGCTGTCAGACAAAGTACTGTATATGTCTGTTGGGTTGTTTGGTTAATTGTACTGTTTAACTCTTTCCTTCCTTTGTAAAATTATTTTCATACAAACTTCATTTTCATACACTAAAGTTCCACCAACACAGTTTTACAGTTTCTGGCTTATGTAATTGTCTTTTAAATCAGAAGGAAAGAATTTCAATAAAATAACATTTATTCTGCCCTTTATATTTACCTACATTTTATATAATGCAGTTGTATCAGTCAGGGTTCCACTAGAAATTTATTGCAAGGGTTTGGCTTATGTGACTGGCCAGGCAATTCCAGAATCCATAGGGCAGGCCTGCAGGAAGCAAGAGCTGAGGCTGCTTTAGCACACTTGGAATGTCTTTCTCTGGGTAATTTCATTTCAACTGATTAACTCAGGCCCAGCCACATTATCTAGGATAATCTTCTTTGCTTACCCTGGACTGACTCTGAATGTTAATCATGCTGGCAAAATACCTTCAGATGTCCATCCAGGCAGAACACCTGTTTGTTGAGCTCCTGCTCTCACCACAAGAAAAAATTGAACAAACTGAAAATCATTGACTCTTAGATCCATCAGAGAATTGAGGTCATAGGATACATTGCAATCCCCAAATCTGGGGGGAGAGGCTAATACAGAATACACATCAGTTAACCTGAAGCAGAAGCTACTGGGGCCATCAATGGGAAGGAATGCTTAAAAAAGTAGCTTCAGCAAATTCTGGAGCTGAATGTAGACTAGCTATAGGTAGAAACTTGGAGGTGCACTAGGTTATCTTGGTGGAGATTGGAAAAACTCTCTTGTTTTGCCAGGGTAGGGTGGGGAGACGAAGTGACCATTCTGGAAAAATAACCACTTTAAAATAAGCCTAAATTATTCTCCATATAATTTCTCTTACACCTCAGCATTTCAATTTGGAGTACTTATAAACAGTATTGTATTTTCACTCAATTCCATGTGTTCATTATGTATGTAAAAGCATGATTTGATTTTTGTGCTTTGATCTTACCCCTATAACTTTGTTGAACTTAGTTCTAGAAGTTCTTAAAATATAGACTCCTCAGAATTTTCTGCATAGACCATCATGACAACTGTATATAGGGGCAGTTTTATTTCTCCTGTCTCCTGGTGTTCCAGCTACCTTCCTGTGTATGCTGAGGTACAGGAGCCCCACGTATACCTGAAGAGCAGCCAGGTGGAGGTCAGCAACCTCTACATGGGGGTGTCCACAAAGTCAACCATCACGCTCGTCAACGGCACGCTCCTGTTCACGCGGTTTCACTGGGGCAAGGTGAGTGAGCCTGTACCATCCAGGAGCAGTCTGCAGCCCTCAGCAACAGAGACCTATGTGGCCCCCCAAATCCCTCCCATAGCATCTGTTCAGCCTCTCTCCCTACCACAGCCCGCCCATAACTCCATAGAGCCCAGAAAAGCTTGGATCCTCAGAGGAGCGGCCCATCTGGTCTGGCTTTGGTCCTGCCTTTAGGGAATTCCAGTTCCTGCCTGAGAAGGAGTTTCTGGTGAACACAGATAGAGCCTTCCAGTTAGCAGAGTGTGTGGCTGGTCCACATAGCTGTCAGGAGCCCAATTGTGGTTCTGCCCCATGGCTCTGAGATCTGTGGAAGATGGAGCCACATCCTTGTATATCAAAGGCATTTGCCTTCTGCTTCCCAACTCTCTGGGCCTCTCAGGGTAGCTCATTTAGTCCGTGCAACCCACTGACAGGTGGCGAAGTCCCTCCAGGGTTGGGGAGGACAGAAGGAACCTTGGGACCTACTGTGGGTCTGAGTCTCAGCCAGCAGTGAGCATGCTGTCTGGACTCGGGTTCCTCTAGGAGCCTCACACAACAGGTCCACAAATGTGTCCACCAGCTCCTAGGGCACCAAGCAGCCTTCTGCACAGCAATAGTCTCTCCCAAACGTGGCCTGCTGGGCCCCAGTGAGGAGTGCCTGCTCAACTTGGAGTTGACCGTGCATACCATGGTGAGTACAGTGATAACAGAACCTGAGTGACTAAGACACCTGTCAACAGGTTGGGCTTGTGCCTCAGGGAGGTCCTGCTCCTGGTCCTTGTGGGTAGGGAAGGGATTTTTTGCATTTGGGTGTAGGATCCCCATTCAAGCTGGGCCAACTTTCTAAGAACACAAGGTCAGAGAGCCTGGAGCAGCCTGGATGTGCTCTGAGACCCTCTGGCCCTTTTGGCACCAGCTTTAGCCTTCTCCAGACCATTCTTTGTGGCTGGGGCGGGGTCCAGCTTTCCAGTTGGCCCAGAGACCTAAGGCAGAGGTTCTGTTCAAGGCAGACACTGTGCCAGATGCTGCTGGAGGAGGTGACTGGTAGCCAGGGTCAGCCTGGGGGAGGCACAGCTTTTCTCTGGAGGGGCCCAGAGGGAGACCATCTGGGTGAACATGATTAGTGCTTGAGCATTGTTGGATATTGCTGCATGGTTCTTGTTGGGGAAATAATTTCTTCCTTGAAAAGACTTGCAAAATCGGGTCTCAGTTTTTCGCTGGCAAACATGGGACAGTGAGCTTTTCTATACAGGTGATCCTGAGCTCCAGGATGATAGACCCAGGCATAGCATGGTGCAGATCCCACTCAGGAAGGACATGATGTCTATTATAGTAGCAGCATCAGAAAGAATGAGCAGCTCTCCAGAAGTCACTCTGAAAGGTTTTCCTTTCTGTGGACATGCACAGATGTTTCAGGAAGACTCAGCATGAACCCTGGGGATGGGGCCAGGCCTCTGGGGACAGGATGTGGGCCTACCGGCTGGGATTACTAAAGCACACAAGAGCCCTTTCTCAGAGATGAGCCCAGACAAAGGTCAAGGCCTTCATGTTGGGCCACTCACAGAAACCACCTCTGCTGTGGAAGACCATCTGTACCCACCTCTGAAGCCCTGGGTCTGACTGAGCCCTGGATGGGTTTTCTTGTAGGAAGAACTGACGGATCTGGCTCTTCCTTGTTATGTGTCAGGAATGAAAAAGCCACTGGCCCTAGGTATCTCTGGAAAGCCCCAGGGACTGGAAGTGACCATCACTGTCTCCATGGAGGGCTCTGATATCAGGTGAGCCCAGAGTGGGAACAGCTTTACAAAGAACTGGCAATGTACTGAGAGTCCATTACCAGCTGATTCCTACCACTGGGAAGAGGCCATAGAGTTGTGATGGGCCCTGACCACTTGCTTCTGCAGGAGCAGACCCTTTATCCCACCCCTGTCCTCTGTGTGTCCAGGGCTGCAGGCTCCTTGGGCTTTCCCATATGAGGCCCAGCAACCTGGAGACATGCCAGTCTGCCCCTAGCCAGGGACTGCCTAACAGAGTTCCAGGCCTCTGTTAGCATGGTGGGCAGACAGGAAGGCGGGGTCTGGGGGTTCCAGCTCCATGAGGAGGGAGTCGAAGATGAAGCCAGGTTTCTGGGCAGCTCCTGCACCCCTTCCTAGGGTGGTTCTCTGAGTAGTCCAAAGACCACAGGTAACACAGCGCCCATGGACATGGGGCAATGTTTTCAGGACAAAGCAGTGGCCGGGCCACCTGGAGGAGCTCCACCTAGACTTTGGATCAACGGTGCCACTGAGGACCCGTGTGAATGGCCAGATCATTCTGACCAATTGCTCCCCAATGCAGACCTCTTTCACTCTCAATTTTGACTACTTTGGGAGCCCCCCAAACAGCCTGAGCAAAAGCATCAGCCTGTAAGTCTTGTTTCCTTTGGAGGCTGTCCCCAGGGTGGGAGTGCATGGGTGGAGTTTACCTCCTTTGTGGCTTAGGTGGCAAGAGGCTGACTGGTGTAGAAGGGGGCATCTGTGACTTTACAGGGAGATATAGAGAAACACAGAGAGGAGATGACTTTTTGCTACCCACTCTTCAATATTGACTGGGCCTGTGGGAAAGGCTGGGATGTGCCCCCTCCTCCTCAGCCTGGCCTGCTGACATGGCAGGCTTTTGAGATGAGGCAGGAGAGGCCCGTGAATGAGGGAGAAGTTTCTATGGATAGAAAGAACCAGGTAAAGATGTGGGAGGGACGACTTAAGAATGGGAGTGTTCTGGGGACATTGGATGGTGTGGCTGGGCTGACGTGGAGAAGTGAGCTGGGGAGGATGACCAGGAGGGAAGACAAAAGGTCAGCGGAGACACTAGTCAAGGGAAAAGCAAGACATGGAGCACTGCACCACAGATATTGGCCAAAACTACATTTTAGGACATCTTTTTTGGAGGCAGTTTGCCAGCACACACCTGTGAGAGACCTCAGTGCCTCATCTCTTAAAACCACTGCCATGTGCAAGAGGGAGAGCCATAAGCAGTGGATAATCCATCAGCTCTCTGCTCCAAAGGGTTAGTGTGCATCCAGCACTGGACAGAGGTCGGCAGGGTGCACTGGAAATGGGTCTGTTGCAGAAGTTTGAGCAAGAGAGGGAACATTGGGATGGGTTTGCATCCTAGGTAACTAGGGCACAGCCTGGGACAAGGGATCCCTGCCCTAGAGCCCTCCTGGATTTCTTAGGGGATGATCTGTATGACTTGGGGAGTGGCCTGCAGCTGGGGATACTTTGGATGATAGAGGTGTAGTGGGGGCAAAGACCAGAGAAAAAGGTGAAGAAGAGACCTGACCAGCTTTTCCCTGGGAGAAGCAGGCAGTGCCACCTTCCTCTGCTGGATGCAGTACTGTTTTCCATGGGGGCATGGCTCAGGTCCTGGGAAAGGCTTAGCTGTTTTGATGCCAAGTTTTTTGTTTTTTGTTGCCTCCATTTATAAAGCCCTGACTTGCCTCCTGCCCTGCTAAAGTCGGCACGGATCCGAGAGCACTTGGCCAAAAAAGAGCAGCTGGGTAAGAGCCACCAGGGTGGGGGGTGAGGGCTGCGGGCTGATGCCTGGCCACAGTGGAGTTTCACCTGGCCTTCTGAGGATGTGGGCCAGCAGCTGCCCGAGAAGAAAACCAGGACTGGAGACCTCCTTCTCAGTGTCTTTCCTAGCTAGGTCCTCAAGATGGCCATGGCTTTTCACATGACAATCTCCTACTCTTGAATGAGGTCATTTCCTTGGTAGGGCATAACCTCATGCACAGGGCCTGAACTTGATTTGGGCTGCATAGTGGCTCATAAAGGAGGGCTGTTGATGAGCTCTGGACTCTCGGGAGAGAAGAGAGTTAGCCAGGCAGGACACCAAGCTACTGGTACCTGAGCTAGCCTCCTGACCACAGAGAGGCTGTGGGGTGGCTGGTCAGGGGGAGTGCATTGGTAACTCCTGAGGGTTTGGAACTCACTCTCAACCCCAGGCTCCTGAGCCCTCATTCCTGATTCTCCCACAGATTTTATGGAAAGCATGTTATCTTATGGGAGAGGAGTTGCATTCTTCCCCCACACTTCCAAGGGTGTGCTGGGGGCTTTCCAGCAGCTGAGCATTGACATCACAGGCTGTGCCAACATGTGGGGCGAGTACTGGGACAGCCTTATTTGCAAGGTAATGACACACAGGCGGGCACACCCCTCTGACTTCCCTTTCTCCAACACCCAGTCCTCAGCCTCTCAAAGCTCACCAAGTTACAAGGTGATCCTACTGATCCTGGGATACCTGCCACAACCTCTGGGATGGAGGCTGGGATGTTCTAGGCAGGAGGGGTCCTCATGAGCAGTAGAACCTTCTGCACTTTTCCCCTTGAGGTGCAGGGCTGGGACCACAGTAAGGACAGAAATTAGCAGACTATGCCATGACCCGAGACCTAGAGAAGGGAGTAAGAAATAGAGGGAATAACAGCCTCCCTTGCCTAGCCTTCTGTGCATTCCATTATTACCCCATGGGTCATTCATTTGCTCCTTCACTCAGCACACATGGAGCTCCTACTGTGTACAGGTTCCTGTGCAGTCCTTAATACTAGGGAGATACAAGGATGAAATCAATGACCAGCCAGGAGATAAGGCCTGCAAGGAGCCCCCGGTTTACCATGGCAGGGTAAAACACACGTACATTACCCTATACACCATTCTGTTGTTGCATAGATTTTTGTGAACTCTTTAGTAAGTTAAACAGGCTAATTATAGTAGATATTTGCTTTAAGTTGCTTGTATCACGTATGACAAATGGTTGCTTATGTTAATACATAGTTACTAAATAACAGTAAGGGGAAAATAAAGTATTGCAAGTAGCAAAGGGTTTGAATAGGTGATTCAAAGAAAGACAAGTCCAAATAGCTAATACTTATATTAAAAAAAAGTCATCACTAGTAGTTAAATAAATGTAAGTACAATAACCACAAAATACTGGTTTGTGTCAGATTAGCAAGGTTTGAAAGCTATTGGTGAGGTACGGGGAAAGGGAACATCTTAGCCTGGTGGGTCCAGAGGTAGGGAATGCCTCTGGCCTTTGGCAGCACTTGGGACTGTGCCATGTCCAAATTTAAAGGGTCTCCAAGAACACATCTGTAGATTATGTACAAATGACTTCACAATAGGCTGCTTTTCTTTTCAGCATTATTTGTAATGGCAGGGAGGAAACAAATATGGATTTGTGTCCATCTGTAAAAGACTGGATAAGCCATTGGGTTGCTTCCCTACCGTGGAATTCTGCAAAGCCTAGCCTATGATATCATGAATCTATTTTAGTAAAATTATATCATTAAGAGAAAAGAAGGTTATTAAAGAACAACCTGTCTGGCATGCTGCCCACCTGTATCTGTCTTAATGGACACAAAGGAAGGGTGGACGGATACATGCTAAGATGGCGGCAGTGAGTCCAGCAGGGGGAGAATTATGGGTGATTAGTACACTAAGTTTTTTCCCCAGAAATAAGCATTTATTACTTTTAAGTAACAGAGAAGAATAATAAGGTTTTTTTCCCCTTTAAAAGTTAACAGAGATTTATGCAGATGGAGGCTGGCAGAGCCCAGGCTGGGGCTGTCTGGAGAAGGAGTCAGTGGGAAATGAGGCTGGGCCAAGCCAGGACCAAGCTGTGGGGTGCTTGAGGTGGCTGGAGGGAATGCAGGGGCAGCTGGTAACAGGGGTGACAAAGGGTGTATTTGCAGGTGGGAGACCTGCCACCAGCAGTCATCCCAGTGCACATGGCAGTGGTGGGCTGCCCCATCAGCTCCCAGCGGACCACCTCTTACATGGCTGACAAGTCACAGAAGGAGCCCATCATCAGGTGCCCCACCCTTGCCCTCATCCTCTGCTCCCTAGTGGCTCCCCAAACTCTGCAACCTCCAGCTTGGGCTTCCCATCTACCTCAATGTTCTCCATATGGCCTAAAGCCACCTGGTGCCACCTACAAGGGGTCCCAGGTTAGGTTATTCCTGGGGGAAAAGAGGCCTTAGGAGACATGGCCACCACCTATGGGTCTCTGAGGGACTTTGGGGTGGGGGGCAGAAGTAGTGAGTAATCCGTGTAACTCAAGGTCAGTACCAGACCTAGGGCTGCTCACACAGATGAGCTGGGATCAGCATAATTCAGGGGACAGAGAATGGATTTCCAGAGCAGTGAGCTGCCCCAGGTTACAGGCCCTCAACCAGTGCACAGGGAAGGCCTCCAGCCCTGGGTCTCAGTGTCACAAAGGTGAGGACAGACCACTGTGGACCTCCTGGTCCTTGTCTTGTACTCCTCTCTGCAGTATCCCTGCCTGCCAGGTGTATGCCGGCTGTGGCTTGCTCAATCCCATATCTTGCCTCCAGGTTTGGGACCCAGGTCTCTGGAGGAGACACAATCACACGGAAACTTCGCCTGAATAACTCCAGCCCCTGTGGTGAGATGATTGTGAGATAAACTGGGGAGGTGCTCTTGGAAGCTGATGGCCCCGAACAGGATGTGGGGGCCTGTGGTTACCAAGGGAGGTCCACAGGGATCAAGAGGGAGAGTTGACCATGGTAGTCCAGGGTTGCCAGAGAGTGCCTCTCCCATCATCGAGGACGGGATCTGCTCTTGCCTAGCCTTGGGTCTCCCAGTATCAAAGGAGCCACAGAGCCTTGCTGTCATCAGGGTTGCTGGGCCTAGGGCTACTTCCAGGGGACCCCGTTGCTCATTCCTTCAGCCGGCAGGACCTGCACTCTATCCAGGATCTGAGCAAGAAGTTGGGGATACAAAAGGCACAAGACAGCAGGGTCTCTGCCTAGGGCCCCGTCCTATGGGCGTGACTGTGCATGGAGGCTAGCGCCTGAGGATCAAGGGGCCTGCATGTCCCCAAGGAGGGGCACTTAGGCTGAGTCTGGAGGGAAAATAAGCCAGCATTGCTTGGGGCAGTGAGTGATGACAAAGAGTATTCTGTGCCACCAGAAGAACTATGGGCAGCTCAGAGACTTGAGGGAGACAGCAGGATCAGCCTGGCCTCATTGAGTCCCCTGGGGAGTGTGTGAGGCATCCCCAGGCTGACCCCCCTGGGCAGAATGAGCCCGTGTCAGGTGGCAGGACTTGGCACTATCATAGCTAAACTGCCCAGGCTCTCAGGAAGGCATGGCCACAGGAGAGGGCCCTGCTCTAGGACAGATCTCTGCAGTTCTGGAAGTGTTGGCAGTCTCTCCTCTCCCCACATTCTAAGTCAATGTCTCCTTGTATTCGCAGTTGTTTTTCTTTATGCTTTTAGCTGCTATATTGGTTGGTGCATTTAGACACTGGATATTCTTCTCAAATTGAGTCTTGTCATTTGTATTGTTCCTCTGACTCCTATGGAACGCTGCTGGCTAAATTCCATGTTACTTTCTTTTGCTCTCCTTGGTGTCTTCTCATAGGCATTTACCTGGGGTTTCCTTACCCACTCTTCCATTGTCACCCTTTATGACTTTGTTTCTGGTGAACAGTAGACAGCTGAGTTTTGTTTTTGTTTTTTTTAAACACCCTGACATTCTCAATGTTTGAATGGGAAAAGTTAGTCAATCCATATAATTCTTCCATCTCATTTTAAGATTTATTTTGCTTTGTTATTTGTTTTTCAGTTCCTTTTTTTTTTTTTTTTTTGTGGCCTTTGTTTATCTTCCCTCTTTACTTTGGGCTTTCTTTTCAGCTTCCCTTCCCTCTGGTGGTTCCTCCCCTTCCTTGGGCTCATAATCACATGCACATTTCTCTATTTCTACCTGGAAGATTGTCCACTGGACTTCAGAGTTGTGGTGTCCTTGGTAAGAGGCAGGTGCTAAGTTGATAGTAAACATAAGAAACAAGATCAGGAGCCTTGGGTGTGTGTCCACTGGGTATTCACCAGGGCCCAGCCCAGTGGCTAGCATTATAAGTTCTAATAAATCAAATGCTAATGGGGAATGGGTGAGAGATGAGAGGGAGGAGGTGGGCTGCCAGAGGGAAGCTTGTTCATGATGGTGGACCTGAACTTGTTTCAGTACTGTCAAAAAAATAGCAAGATGTAGAGCTGGGCACAGTGGCGCACGCCTGTAATCCCAGCAACTCAGGAGGCTGAGGCAGGAGGATCGTGAGTGCAAAGTCAGCCTCAGCAAGAGCAAGGTGCTAAGCAACTCAGTGAGACCCTGTATCTAACTAAATAAAATACAAAATAGGGCTGGGGATGTGGCTCAGTAGTTAAGTGCAGATGAGTTTGGTTATACAGAAGAGAGGGGGTACTGGACGTGGCAGGCCCCTAAGAAAGAGGGTCAGGAGTAGGGCTGAAGGCAGGAGGAGAGGAGGATGGGACAGAGGCAGACAGACACATAATGTGGGAACAGGTCTTCAGGAACTTCTGGGAGATGAGGTAGGGCATCAGGGATGCAGATGGAGGTGTTAGGGACAACTTGATATTGTCATGGTTGGGAAGGAAGGCAATGTGGGGACCCAGTTTAGGTTGGGGACAAATCTACAGCAGTGGCAATCTCTTTAGCTCAGAGACTTTCTCCATGGTGCCCAAGAGAACGGTGCAGTGCAGTTCATTGAGGGCTGGGCTAGGTGAGTGGGAGGATGGGGGAGCAAAGGAAGACATGAGGTTGCCAACAAGGCAGAGGCTGAATGGAGGCCCCCAAAGCCTAACCTGGCTGGGGAAGGAAGTAACAGCAAACATAAGCTGACAGACGGAGGGAGAGAAGGTAGAGGACACGGGGATTGGAGGGCCCATCCTGACAGCAAACAGGCCAGAGAGAGAGGAAGCTGTGGTGAGAGCGGAGTGTCTAGGTTCATGCAGGTGGAGCTGGAAGTGTGGTCGTGAAGGCTTCAGATGATTGGACCGGAAGGCATAAGTCTGTAAAGGCTATTTTTTTAAAACAAGAATTGCCTGAAGGTGGCATTAGAAAGACAGTGAGGCCCCCTCCACCATGGGCATGGGAGAACAGAAAGGTGGAGGCCCCAAGGAGACCATCGGCGCCTCCCTTATTCCTTGCCCTCTCCCCATGTGTGCCCTAGACATTCGCCTAGACTGGGTCACCTATGTTCCAGAAGATAAGGAGGATAAGCTGGTGGACCTGCTAGTGTTTTATGGACCACCATTCCCACTGCGGGATCAAGCCAGAAAGGAGATCGTGTACCCCGAGACCCCTGAGAGCAGCAGCTTACCCTGGTCCCCAAGCCCCTCCAGCGTGTCCGAGTCCAGCCATGCAGCTTCTTTTCCAGTGAGCAGGGCTGTGGGGGCAGGGGAGCTGGCCACTCAGGGTTGCTGAGATACAGCCCAGGGGCCAGCTGAGCCTGTATAAGAGCTTCAGCTACTCTTGGTGACAGGTGGAGGCCTACTCCAATGCCAGCACCAGGGCTGCAGCGCAGATCATCTCAGTTGTCCTGCAGGAGCATGCGGGGGTGCCCTCCGACCTCCCCTACTATATCAGACCCCAGCAGGTGGTGAGTGAGTCCAGGTGGACCTGTCTCTGGGGGTCTGCCCTGGCCTCCCAGCAGGCACAGGGCAGTACTGAGGCTGCTGTGTCCATGCCAGGTGGTCCCTGCTGGGGGAAGTAGCACCATCTACATCTCCTTCACACCTCCAGTGCTCAGCTCCGACATCCAGCAGAAGGTGGAGTGCACTGGCTACGCCCTGGGTTTCATGAGCTTGGACAATGAGGTGAACGTCCTGGGGTGGGGACCATAGCCACTGCCTCTCTCCTGGGTGGCACAGTGCTGTTCGATCCAGGGACCACCAGGGTGATCAACGGTTGATTGGGCTCTGTAGGTAGAAAGAGAGATTCCCGGGAGGAGGCGTCGCCTGCAGCACTTTGCTGTGGAACCCCTGAGACTGGACCTGCATGGGCACGTGAGGCATGCGCAGTGAGTGCTGGGTGGTCCCCTCTCTCTCCATCCCCCTATGGGGACACCCTCACCGTCTCTGGTGAGGCCAGTCAGGGTTATTGGAGTCAAAGGACAAAACTACTTCTTGGGCTCCTAGAGTAGAACACTCCAGGAGAAAGCTCCCACCCAGGCTGACCCACCTCCTGCTGGGGGCTGAGGGGAGGAGAAGCCAGCAGGGAAGCCCAGAGAAAGGCTGGCTAGAGACCAAGTGAGCAGAGGGGACAGCCAGGAGGCCCCAGCAGTGTCTATCGCTGGGCAGACTAAGCGTGGAGCTGGACAGCAGTGGCAGCTTGGAGTTCTGGTGCCAGGCCAGCGACCTCATCCCCGAGCAGCCCTGCTCTGCGGTAAGTGCTGCTTCCCCGCCCCTGGCCCTGCCAATTGACCTGAACCTCCAAGGTACCTAGGGGCTCTGCTGGGGCACAGGCCTTCTGTCCTGAATCCCCTCCCCAGAGCCATAGGACTGAGAGGGTGAGATGAACCCCAGCTCCCCTCTTCTCTGGCCACCCAGGTGCTGAGTGAGCTGCTGACCACCCGCCACCTGAAGCTGATTAACACTACAGAAATACCACAGTACTTCTGGCTTCTGGTCTCCAGGCCCTTTTTTGTTTCTCAAGGCCAGGCTCCTTGGGACCACAGAGCTGGCTCTGGCCAGGAGCACGAGTCTGAGAAGACGGCCCCAGGGGGCAAGCAGATGGAGCTCCGGCCACAGGAGAACATGCTGGTCAGTGGAGGGGTGCGTGGCTCTGGTCTCTCTGTACATGCTCACACTGCCCAGACAGCACCTGCACACCATCCCAGGCACTCTCTCTCTGCACAGGGGGCTTTCACATGTGTGGAGGGACTGGTCAGAGTGCACCGGCCACACAAGTTCTACAGACTCACCCAGGCCTCCCCCACTGCCTGGTGGGGGCCCATGCGTTCCTCCTCCTCTTCACACTCAGACTCCCTTCCTTCTCACATGCCCTCACTCAAGGGTTTGTGCCCCTCCAAGAACCTTCTCCCAGAGGTAGAGGAGCCAGACACAGATCTGCAGAATGGTGGGTGAGCTCCTATATCATTCTGCCTTGGTTCCTCCTTCTGGGGCTACATGGAGGGGAGAAGGGGAGACCAGAGCATAGCTAGAGGTCCCTTTTGCCGGGGCTCCAGGGTTCCCCCAAGAGACTCTGGGTTTAGGTATTTAAAGCCCTCGGGCAGCTTGGAGGAGGCCCTATGGCTCCCAGGGAAAAGACATCATCACATGGTGGCACTGCCCCTCACCCTGTGTGTGTAGATAATGCTCAGGCATCTGGCTCCGGACCAGAACTCTCCCCTCAGTTTTAGATCCAAACTCAAACTGTAAAACTGAATTCCCCATAACCCTCCAGACCCTGTCCTGCTCATCTAAGCAAATACTACCTGCCCACTAGTGCCTAGATCAGAGCTCTGTCTCCTCCTCCTCAAACCAACTGCCAAGCCCCATGGATGCCCCTAACTCTCGGTGCTTCTCACTTGTCCACACCTCTACATGCATGTCTTGTTCTATAACAATTATTTCCAAGCCTAGCAGTACATCAGTGGCCTTTAGAAATCTTGTTAAACATACAAGGTCTCAGGCTGTACTTTCAGAGATGTCACGATCTCAGCTAAGACCCAGGAATCTATATTTGTAACAAATGCCTCAGTCGATGCTTATGAGCTAGCACATGGAACTATCTGGGAGCCAGGAGTCCAAGCCCCATCCTGTTGGCCTAAGTTCGGTCTCAGCCACCTGACTGCTGTCCTCAGCCACTTATGCTCCTGCAGCCCACCTCCCACTAGCAGCCAGAGTGACCTTGTGGAAGGCAAAGCTGACTTGGACACACCCCTGCTTCAAACCCATTACATGCCCCTCACTATCCTCAGGATAAAGGCAAAGTCCTTCCTTGGCCTATGGATGGCCAGAACCCAGCTCTGATCAAGGGCAGTTTGCTTATTGTCCTTCTACTCTAGCCTCTGACTGTGGAGGGCACCAACAGGGTGCTGGGCACAGTACCGGTGCAGGGAATGGATGTGCCAGGCAGGGGTGCTGTGGAGCTGTTTGTTGGGAAGCCTGGGTCAGTCTGGGCCCTGTAGGCTGCAGGGACGTTGCTGGGCCTTCAGAGGCTTGGGGGAGCAGGATACAGCTCCAGATGGGGGAAGCAGCACCTGCTTTCAGCAGCTTGAGCCAGCGCCTGTCCATGTCCATACAGGTGGATGTGTCCTTCTCACTCTCCCTGGAGCTGCTCTCCTACCAGAAGCTCCCGACCGACCAGATGCTACCTGGAGTGGATATCCAGCAGAGCACAAGTGGAGAGAAAGAGATGGTGTTTACTCAGGATCTGCTCCTGGAGTTCACCAATCAGACCACACAGGCTAGTCCCAGGAGGGCTCCTTGAGACGGGGGGAGAGTAGGACTAGCTGAGAGCTATTCCCTAGAGTGAGGAAGATATCACCAGGCAGGGCCTTCATATGAGGAGCCCTGGCCCCTGTCCTGAGGACAGTCTGCCTGGAAGAGGCCCTGTGTAAGGAGAGTCCTCATCCTCACCTGTTTCAGGAGCCGAGTCAGGTGAGGGGCTGGAGGATGGGAAATGAGGGAAGGCTCCCTGGAAGAGGTGACAGGTGAAGCCTGTGAAGGGAAACCACACAGGTCAAGAAAATGGACGAGTGGGTGGGACATGAGCACCTGAGGCAGTTGTGAAGGATGATACTCAGGCTCCATGGGGCTCCACTGGCCAGGTGGTCATGGGCCATGATGTGGAACAGAGGGGAGCAAGGAGCTGAACTGGGGCTGTGGGTCAGGTGTAAGAAGGAAAAGAGGCAAAGCAGGGGAGCTGGAGCACTGCTGCCCAGAACAGAGTAGCTGCTGGGGCTGACAGTGCGGCAGGGGCTGCTGAGGTGCTCTGGCAGGCAGGGCATGGGTGGAGAACCTGAAGGTCAGGGCTGAGGCAGGATGGCCCAGGATCTGAGACTGAAGACTGGGAAGGGAGGAAGAGTGAAAGAAAGAGGCTGACCTCCATGGGAGCAAGGCTGGCACCACTGGAAAGGACAGCAGAGGGCGCTGTTCTGGCCTGTCGCTGTGCAGAATCTCACCAGCAACTCCTGGCTTATGATGACAGTGCCAGCCCCCTGCTGCCCACTGTGCTGCTACCACTGCTCTGCTCAGAAGCATTGGTGCTCATGGGGCATCAGGGTTCCATGTGATCCAGTGACCCTGGCTCAGACCCCACTATAATGGGCAAGGTCACTCCATTCCCATCAAGTCAAAATCTGTTCCCCAGGTTGTGCCCCTGCGGGCCATTGTGACTGTGCCTGAGCTGCAGCTGTCCAGCAGCTGGGTAGACTTTGGAACCTGCTTTGTGAACCAGCAGACATCCCGGGAGATCTACCTGATGAACCTCAGCAGCTGCCGGAGCTACTGGGCTGTGCTGATGGGTATGTTGGGCCTCACACCTGCTCACTGTTCCCAGGTGGGGCTGGGTAAAACTTATCCCTCCCAGTGTCTGTGTGTCCTGTCCCTTTAGACTGGCATCTCTGGGCTCATATCACTTGGAATTTCTAGAGACAGGTAGTCCTCTAAACCTGTGACCCCAGGTTTCCCTGTCCTGTGGAATTGGCAAGACCAGAGGTGAATCTTGAGAGGATGGGCTGACCTGAGACAATTAAAGGCTTCCAGGACAAAACATGGAGCTGCCTGTACCCATGTGTGTCTTCCCTTCCCCTTGATGCAGGTCATCAGAGTGCCATCAAGGAGGCTAAAGACTTTGTTGTCTCCCCAAGCAGTGGGTTGCTGGAGGCACGACCCACCAATGCGCCCCCAACCTCCATCACACTTGAGGTGTTCTTCACTCCCAGGTACAGCTCCTCCCCACCTTCTGGCACTATCCACAGGGCTGGGGGGCCCTGCAGATCTCAGCCCCTCCTCTTCCACAGGAGCAATGAGCTGTATGAATCCACGATGGTGGTCGAAGGCATGCTGGGAGAGAAGTCCTGTGCCCTGCGGCTCCGGGGCCAAGGCTCTTACGATGAGACATTCATGGAAACTCACCAGCTCTGAGGCTCACCCCACCCCTCAGCCCCAGACTTAGCTTAAGGAACAAGATGGCACAGGTTGATGAACAGGTGTGCGGGGCAGAGACATGGACTGAGGATTTCTAAACAGCTCTTGGGATGGAGGAGCCCCGCCCGCTCTGAGGCAAAGGTCTTGCCTTAGCTTTGGGGACTTACAATGTAGTGCCTAACACAAAAGAGGCCACACCAATGTGGAGATCATAGCAGTTCAGACTCAGATGAAGCACACAGAAGTCCCCCAGGGAAAACACCCACCCACTAAGATAAGATAACACACGATTGATTATACCATTGTCCCCTCCTCATTCATGAGGCCACAGTTTCCTAGGATTTACATGGGGGCCTTGTGGGCTGGGTGACCCACAATGACTTTGGCCCAGCTAGAGGGGGCCTTTTGGTAAGGCCCAACACCCTGCCCACTCCTGTACTGTGTTATCCATGTTCACAGTTTCCAAATTATTTAAAGTGCCTTGATTTGTTCCCACCACCAGTGCCGAATGTCCCACGTGGATTTGCTTCCCAAGAGCCACTCTCTGGCTGCCAGAGTAGGGCCGTCTGGGTAGTACCTTGAGCCAGGGACTCAGTTCACAGGGTATTCAAAGACAGTAGCGGCTCCCATCCCAGTGCCAATGCACATGGATACCACTCCATACGCCCTGGGAAAGGGAACTATGTTGGCTGGGCACAGGTACTCTGGGCAGAGGCCCAACCCCCTGACCAGAGGATACAAAAAACCAGAAGACCAGATCTTGGATATTCAGTCCCCCGACTACGTACCTTGGCATCACAGTGGCAGCTGTACTCTGTAGGCCAGAAGCCCTTTCAAGGCTGACCCTCAGGGACAATAGAGATCATGTCCCTATATGCCCAGTTCAAAGTGCATATTGACCTCCCAAAACTACCACCCTTTGAAGCCCCAGCTCAGCATCCCCCATGACACCCCAAGGGGAACAGCCTTACCTCTTCCCACAGCACTTTAGCTCATTCAGCAGCTGATGTCCTGTCATGCCCCAGTGCAGCCCAGGGGGTGGCCCGGGGCCACCGCTCCTCCCAGAGGGTTCATCTTCTCAGGGGGGATTCCTAGATTTTCCACACAGTAAATAGCCTGGACATGCTGACCCCCTCCCCTTCATGGCTTGTCCACTGGCTCCCACTATGTGCCCAGGGACCAGGCAGTGGGAAGACTAAGATTCACCTGGCCTCACTGATATCAAAGATGTCCATATCATTCACTGTCAGCCCTGGAGGTGAGGTTCAGACCTGGGCAGGCATCCTCCAGGCCAGCAGCTGCCCCATCACTCACCTGGCTAGAGTTTCATAGGGAGAAAGAGTTGGGGTGAGGAGGATCAGAGCAGAGGAGAACCAGCCCACTGTGGCAGACATGCAACTTTAGCCTACTAAATGATGCCCATGGGCAGGCATCCAGATCTTCTCAGACCTCCACCCATGCACAGGCTCACAATTGCCTAGTGTGCTGTCACATCAGACAGGTGAGTGGGTCTCAGCTACAGGTCACAAAGGCCTTGGGTATGGAATGCCAGCCTGCCCCATCTTTACTCTGCAGCACCTGCAGTTCTATCCCCAGTACTCACCCCCAGCAGCAGGGCATGAGGGGACCCAGGTCTAGGGTCTGAAGGAGCCACCTGACCTGCATTCTCCAAGGCTGCAGGAATGGCATATGTAGGTCCGATGTCCATGACATCGGGGGGGGGACTCCAACCTGCATAGGACCTCAGGACCCCGAGAATGGGGAGGCCCAACTCTTCTGCCTTCGACCTCCGGGCCAAGAGGATGGCAGCTGCCCCATCGCTCATCTGGCTAGAGTTTCCTAGGGAGAAAGAGTTGGGGTGAGGAGGGATCAGAGCAGAGGAGAACCAGCCCACTGTGGCAGACATGCAACTTTAGCCTACTAAATCTGGGGACATGTCTGGTCCTATGGGACATCTGAGGGATTGGCTAGAGGTCCTCAGAAAATGCTGCCCTAGGGAGGGGAGGATGTCTGGGGCCATCCAGAGTCTTCTTTGCTATCAACCCAGACTGCCACCAGGGGTTGCCAAGGGACCTGGTCTGCCCCAGACTCCAGAGCAGAACAGCCAGCCTGGTAGCAGTCCCTGGTGGACCCGCCATCTTTGAAAGCAGGCTTCAGTTTGGCCAGGCCCTCCACGGTGGTGTTGGGGCGGATTCCCTCATCCTGGGACACAGTGATGGTCCTCTTGATGCCCTTGTCATCATGGATGGTGGTGGTCACAGGCACAATCTCAGCGTGGAAACAGCCCTTGCTCTTGCTTCCCTGCCAGCAGCAGGCAGCCAGGCTCTCCTGGAGCTCCCTTCCTCCTGTCCTCACTCTAGCCCATTGTGGCAGACATGCAACCTCAGCCTGCTAAATTCAGGGACATGTCTGGTCCTAGGGGACATCGGAGAGACTATCTAGAAGTCCTGAGGACAACCCTTCCCTGTGGAGAGGGAGCCTTGCTGTGGCCATCCAGAGCCTCCTTTGCTATCAACCCAGGGTGTCCACATCCTGGCTGATTCCAAACTTGGGAGAAGGGAGCTTGCAGGTGGTTTTGCTTCTTAGAGCCCTTTGCCCAAGACTCAGCCTGTCAGTTGCCTCTGCTAGTCTGAGGCTGGAGCCCCAGGAACATTTGTGATGGCTTCTGCTAGCTTTCCAGGGTGACCCCAACATCTGAATTTCACCCTTTCCTGATTCCACAAATCTAAAGTGACATATCCTAATTTCTGTGATGTCTTTTCCAACTCAAACAGTTGAACCCTGAGGTATTTTAGGGTTACCCTTGCAGCCCTATGCAAACTACACCACCTAGGGGCATTTCAATAGTAGGAACCCAGAGCTTCCAGGAAAGCCCACAAGACAACCTGACCCAAGAGGCTAACAGTCCCTCTCTTGGAGAAACCCACCTGGACCAGGCACAACTCCATCTTTTCTGTCCCTTCCCTGTATGGTCAATACTGGCTGATCTAGCTTGCTGCCCAGAGGCTAAGCCTGACGTTTTTGTGACATCAGTTCAAACCCAGGCCTACTCCAGAAGCTAGTGTGTCTAGTCCACAGAATCACTGTCCTCACACCCCAAGCCTCCAGGAAGCCTCTGGATACCAAGTCCAGTCCCCAAGCCAGAGTCAGGTTGGAGTCATGGCCCTCCTTACGTTTCAAAGAACATAGGTGGAACTGAGGCTTAGGTAGGGAGAAGGCACTCAGACTCAACATCAACAGTCAGTCTGGGACAGTGAGCGGCCACCAGTTCAGAATGGTACTACACCCTTTCTGTTCCCACCTGGGAGGTATGAGGCTTGCAAAACCCTCATTCACAGCTGTACCCTTGGGACAAGTCCATCTCAGAACACTCAGCATAGCCTCACAGTCTCACCCTCTAGCTCTTTCAAGGTCCCACCCCAGCAACACTCACTCCTGCTGGGAGGCCAAGGCAAAGGTGTCTTGTTTCTCCCTTGAAACGCCAAACCACTCAGCCACGTTCTCCGAGGTTATCCTAGGACATAAACAGCACACTAATTGGAGATGGTTTGGGGGCCAAGGCCAGGCTGTAACACTGTTTTAACACTAGGTCCATGGGACTAAAGGCGGGGAGGGCTGGTCCATGCCAGAGAGACAATAGTAAGTATTCCAGAGGTGGCACTCTTTTCCCCAGCATGGGCATGGAATAGATAGGGAGTCACCCTGCTGGCCAGACTCTCTTCCAAGAGGGAGCGTAGGCTGCATGCAGGGCAGAGCAGAAGAGAGCGTGTTCCCTGGTGAGTTGCTTCAGCTGAAGAAGAAATTCAAGGGGTTTGTTGGGGCTCCCTATGGCCAGCTTCTACTAGGGTCTCCAGGTTACCCTTGGAGGTACTGTATGTGATCAATTCCAAGACACAATACAAACCTCAACCTCCTCGTACATCCATGGGAACCAGGCCTCCCTGCCCACAGGCCCTGCAGATGGCACTGGCTGCTGACCAAGATGCTGGACTGATGCAGCACACATCACAGATTGCATGTGACAGGCCCCCAAGGTCCCTCACCAGCATGTTATGTTCACCAGCTCCCCGCAGTCAACATTCTAGGATCCCACGGTTTCAGGAGATGGGCTGTCATTGTCCTACTCGTGATTAAGCACTCAGAGGGGGTATGATAAAATGGGCTATATGTGGAAACAGAAGACTCAAGGGCCTCAGGGACAGGAAATCATAGCAGCATTGAGTTCCATGCTCAGAGTCCCTGCAGAGCAGATGTCATCCAAAGGAGAGAGGAAGAGGGTTGGCATTGCCAGAGACGAGGAGGAGCTGAGGATGGGCACTCACCCCATGGGGATCAGGCAGTCTCTGGCCTTCTTGTTCTCCCTCACATAGGAAGCAATGTTTCCAGGGTTCAAATTCCAACCCATTGACATAAATTCCACCTTAGAAGGAGGAAAATGAGGTGAGTCAAACCAGCTAGGGTTCCAGTAGCAATGGCTGGACACTTGGCAAGATGTGGGAAGAGCCAGGGAACCCTCAGGAAGTGCAGTGCACTGTCTGGGAGCCACTTGCCAGCAAAACAGAGCTGGGGTGTTGCTGAGCCCTATTTCTACCTTTACCCCAGGACAGAGCAAAGTCCTCCCAGGGACAGGCGCCTCTGTACTTTTGAACCAGTCAATTGGCAGCTCCTGAGAAAAGCATTCTAGTATCCCCCACAGTACAGGAAACACATCCAGTAAGCCCAGGCCCTGTCCTCAGGGCCCACAAATGTAGAGGAGAAGAGACAATCAAGTCTGTACAAAGCTCACATTGAAAGCCAACCTGAGCTGTACAGGCAGGGAGGTGTAACAGGCTGAGAAGATGGGGAGATGTCCAGGGTAGAGAGGTCTCTCCTCTGAGAGGAGAAGGGAGGCAAAGGCCTCAAAAAAGATAACAGGTGATCTCGATTCAGTGTCAAAGCACTAGGCTGAACTCAAAAGGGCACTTCAAAAAGCATCAGTCACATGATAAACACCTGCTGGTTTTAGTTTGTTAAAGACTCCATTTAATCCTGTTATGAATCAATACACAGCTGAGCTACAGATCCCCTTTTATAGAGGAGGACACTGAGATCATGAGTGGATGGAACCCAGCCTGAATCCCGATTTAGGCAGTCTTGCACCAGAGCTCATTCCCTATTAGAAAGTGCTAGGCAACAGTCCATAGAGTCTAGTAGATGGTCGAGTTGTGATGTGGGAATCCTCCCAGCCCCAAACCTTGGTACCCCAGCAACACAGTGCTTAAGCTGCTGGGGAATTAGATGCCCATAAGAAACTCATGAAGACTAATGCTTCAAATTACCCACACCTACACTTCCTCAGTAAGACAGGAAACCAGAGACATCAAGGGGCAGTCTGGGTTTGGCCCTTGCCCGGATCTCGGTGGTCTTTGGCTATCTAACAACTAAGACATAGGTCAGGCTAAACAAGTGAAGGTCATCTAGGATCTGGCCTGAGACCAGTGATGCTTCCTATCAATA